TGTGCCCAGCCCTTGGCGGCCCTGGGTGGAGAGTGACCGGAACGCCGTCAGCCCTCCAGCCGCGGGGTGGGGTCCCCTCCGCCCAGGGTGCGCGCGCTCCCTGGGCACCTTGGTCACGCCACGCCTGAAGGCCTCCCGAGTGAGTATGCCGGGTCCGTCCACCGTGCGGCCGTCGTCCTCGGGCCCCCAGCTGGCGCTATAGATGTGAATGTGTTGCGGCTGCAGGCTGAGGGACTGTGCCTCCACGATGTCCGTGATGGTTCCATCCAACATGCGCACGCCTGCGCGGGTGGGCGTGGGCCTTGCACCAGCACCCACGCTGGCTGCCCTTCTAGGCCACCTCCCCGCCGCCACCTTTCAGTCGCCCTCAGCCTGGGGCCTGGCACCGCCCAGTGGTGGGAACGGGAAGGGGGTGGGTGTAGTGTTCTTCCACTGGTCAAGCTTATCCTAGCGTCCCCCGGCCTCCACCCCGGTACCTCCAATCCTGGCATTGAAGGCCACACCAGCGCCACAGAAGCCGTTGTTAGCTGTGGCAGACACCTCCCCAGCGCAGCGGGTCCCATGCCTGTTTCCGGGCAAGGAGGAAAGCAGCCAGCCGTGTGTCACGGCCCACCTTGGCCTGGCATTTCTGCAGGCCGGGGGGGGGGGGGGGGGGGGGGGGCTGGTACCGCGGGGTACCTAGCTCACCGGTTCTCATCGCTGGGTGTGTAGCGAGGCTGGGGATCTGGGTCATAGTCATTGAAGTCATAGCTGGCCAGAGGGTCCTGGAAGGCAAGCAGGGAAAGAGAGACAGGAATGAGGGGATGGATCTGGGGGTCCCGAGAGGACTCACATAATTTTTTTTAAAGATTTATTTATTCAGCCGGGCGGTGGTGGCGCACGCCTTTAATCCCAGCACTCAGGAGGCAGAGGCAGGTGGATCTCTGTGAGTTCGAGGCCAACCTGGTCTACAGAGGGAGATCCAGGACAGGCACCAAAACTACACAGAGAAACCCTGCCTCAAAACCTTCCCCCCCCCCAAAAAAAAGATGTATTTATTATGTACACAGTGTTCTGCCTGCATGTATGTCTGCAAGCCAGAAGAGGGCACCAGGTCTCATTACAGACAGTTGTGAGCCACCATGTGGTTGTTGGGAATTGAACTCAGGTCCTCTGGAAGAGCAGCCCCTGCTCTTAACCACTGAGCCATCTCTCCAGCCCAAGGACTCACATAATTAGCCCAGAGGTCCGGGTGGTCCTTCTCAATACCGTCATCCAAGATGGAGACCACCACTCCCCGGCCGGTGAGTCCCTGGTTCCAAACCTTCAGGATATTGAGATCTGGCTGTATCTCATTGTTCTATGGCAGTCAAAGAGGAACCTAGGGTCAGTGGTGCTCAGGCTGGTGCCCTCCCCTGCCCGCCCCGTCAGTCCAGCCCAAGTGCTCACCATGTACCACTGCTTGGAAAACCAGGGGTCTGTGGGCACCACCAGGGAGCGCTTCACCCGCCGCCTCACAGTCTGTTGCTCAAACCACTGCACCTGCAGAGGGACACAGGGGCTGGACCAGTCACTACCTCCAGGGCTGTGGGAATGTAGGCAGGAGGCTGTGGAACTCCATGGAGGTCCTTCTGAAGAGACAGGAATGTTAGCTTGGACTGCTCTTTGGGGCCCCCATGACCCTCAAGCTGTGATCTCAGAGACCACTGAGGCCTGAGGATGCATGAGTGAAGCTGCTGGGGACCAGTGTGGCTCTTCTGGTCCCAACCCTACTCCTCTGTCCTTGTTCTAGAGCCTTCTCGCCAAGTCCTGCTGGCTCCCTCCCACAGCACTAGATTTTTCTTTTGAGACAGGGTCACACTGTGTAGTTCCTGACTGGCCTGGAACTCACTGTGTAGACTAAGCTGGCTGCCTTTGGAATGCTGGGGTCAAAGGTGTGTGCCCCGACTCACTGCCCAGCAGCACTTTGAATACCCACCACTCCAACACTCTTTCTGGGTCAGGACACCCCTGGTCCCATGTCACACAACTTCCACCACCTCTGTTTTGTTTCACATGTGTATTCTCTCTCTCTCTCTCTCTCTCTCTCTCTCTCTCTCTCTCTCTCTCTCGTGTGTGTGGGGGGGGGGCTGGAGAGATGGCTCAGTGATTAAGAGCACTGGCCGCTCTTGCAGGGGACTGGGGTTCCATTCCCAGGATCTACATGGCGGCTCACAACCACCGGGGACAAATTCCAAGTAGATCTCGTGCCCTCTTCTGACCTCCTCGGGCACCTGTGTGCATGTGGTGCATGTACAGACAGACAGGCAGGACAAACACTAATGTCAGTCAAAAGAAATACAGATTAAAAAATGTTTGCATCTTTAAAAGAGTAACGGGGGAGTCAGTTTGTCCTTCCACTATGCAGATCCTGGGAACTGAGCTCAGCCAGCTGGGCAGCGGGCATCTTTCCCCGAGCTCAGCCAGCTGGGCAGCGGGCATCTTTACCCTCTGAGCCGTCTCACTGGCTCTCTGTTTCTATCTCTGTTTTCTGAGATACGGTCCAGTGGCCTCAAACTCTCTGTAGCTGAGGACGAGCGTGTGCTCTCCTGCCTGGTTTAAGCTCACTGCGTGGACCCCAGGACAGCCTGCTTGCTGAGCAAGTGCTCCACCCACTGAGCCCTAGGCCCTGTCACCTCCCCCTTGGTCCAACATCACCACACCTATTGCCCCCCTGGTCTTCAGCAGTCAGCCTGCTCCTCACTCAGCTACAGCCAGCAACCAGGAAAGAGCTCATGCATTCTCTTTCACCCCAGGACCTTTCTATGTGATGTTCTGCCAGGCAAAACCAGCTCAAGTCCCCTTCTCCATCCACCCATTCGTCTCATGTCTTGTTCGCTCCACACTTTCTCTTCCCCTCCCCCTCCCCTGTTGGTCTTTCCCCTTCCCACAGGGTTTGGCTCTGAAGACAGTCCCTGTGGTGGTTTGAATGACTCTTCTGTTGGAATGCTTGGTGCCCAGTTGGTTTAGGAAGGACTAGAAGCTGTGGCCCTGTGGGCGAAGGTGTGGCACTGGGAGGCGGGTGGAAGGCTTTGAGGTCAATCTCCCAGTTAGGGCTCTTTGCTTCCTCCTTGTGGATAAGGATGTCAGCTCACAGCCACTGCCCCAGCGTGCCAGTCTGCTTGCCTGCTGCCATGCTCCCCGCCGTGGTGTGCACGGACTCACCCTCTGACGCTGTACGCTCCAATAAACTCTTCTTTCTATAAGTTGCCTTGATCATGGCGTTTTTTGTCACAGTAACTAAGACAGTTCCTGATGCTGAAGGTGAGCACCTCTTGAGTGCATCATGTAACCGCTGTGGCTCACACTACCACAACTCCATGCCGGTTCTTTGCTGTCTAAGAGCTGTTCCTAACGGAGGACTGGCCTAATGTGGATGAACTTAGAGAAGATCCCCAAACACCATGGGCTCTGCTCCCGATTCAGCTGCACACTCACTGATTCCAGGTTCTCGCCTTGGGCACAGTGTTCCAGGGTGTTGAAATGGACCAGTTCCCTTCCCTACATCTCATGGCTTGGAGCCGGAAAGGAGTAGTGCATGAGGACCTCCATCCTTGAGAAGCGGGGCAGGGCCCCTCAGTAAGAGCCCCCCCAGTGCCATGTTGTGGTAGATGCCATGCTCATTCGTGACTTCCCCAAGCAGGCCCCACTTCGCAAACCTACAGGCCACTCATAACAATAACAAGAATGACGGAAGGCGGCGGGTTGTCCTTAGATCGCAGCCATGGGCTCACTCACCTTGGGCTCTTTCTTCAGGCGCAGACTGTGGCCCCAGTGCGGGGTCAGGGACTGCTGGGCCACACCCCGGTGCCGTAGATGGAAATACTGGTCGTCAGGGAAGATCTGGAAATGTGATGGACGGGGGCATCGGCTGGGACCTTGCTCCTTTGGCAGAGTCCCCAAGGACGGAGTCCAGTTTCCGCGGCATTAGACACCTCAGCGAGGTGTCCCAAACTGAACATGGAGGGGGCACGCAGACACGTTCTTCATCCCTGAGGGACCCCCTCCCACCGGTCCAGGTCTGCGGTCGGTCGCCCAGGTCCCCACCCCGTGTCCCATCCATCCAGGTCCCACCCACCTGTCCCAGGTTGACGAAGCCAAATTTACGTGCCAGGCGCTCAGCCTCCTGGTAACCTTTGGTCACCCGCACGGCCCAGCTGCTGACATAGATAGGGGCCCGGGCTGAGGCCCACCCCACAGCCGGGAGGCCCAAAGCCAAAGCCAGACCCAGCCACAGCGCAGTCGGGGAGGGCCGCATAGCGGGGGGCGGGGCGGGGGGCGGGGCCTCCGGAAGCCACCCCATCCCGGACACCATAGCAACCCTGAAGCTCTCAACTCCCAAGGGGCCTTGCGGTTTCCTCTTTCCCCCCTACCCATGAGGGGTGGGAATATCCCACATGGAGAGACATCCACACAGACCTAAGCTCGCGGGGGCCTCAGTTTCCCCACTTATACAAGGACAACCCCTCTATTTGGCCCTTAGGAGCAGGTTCAAGATCACAGGGATACCCTCAACCTTTTATTTGGCTCCGCCCACTTTCCTCTATGCCCCTCCTTCGAGAATCAGCCCGGCCTCCCCAGGTCTTCCAATCAGCATCGTCCTTTTCCACTGTAGTCCCTCCTCCTTTGTGATCAACCCCGCCTTCTCTAGTCTGTCCAATCAGCACTGATCTTAGCCGGGCACCTCCCACCTGTTCCTCAGCTAGCTCCACCCACTTTTAACCGCTCACCGTCAATAATCAACGGCTTGTCCAATCAGTACCGAGCCACTCCCTCTTGACCAATCAACGCACAGGTAGCCTGGCGCCCCGCCCCCTCCGGCCTCCTCGCTGCTCCGCCGGCCTCCACCCTGGCCAGAGGGCCATGCGGCGGGGGAGAGGGGGCAGGCCCCACCTCCTTTGTCCGCCTTGCCCTCCCATTGGCCAGAGTCGGGAGCCGGGGGCGGAGCCAGGGCGGGGGGCGGAAAGCAGCGGGTCGGGGGCGGGGCCGGGCGGTGCGCGGGCGGTGAAGGCTGTGCGCTCCCGAGGGCGCCGGTGCGCGAGGCTGCGGGTGTGCTTGAGCGGCCTGCCCCGGGCCCGCCGCTGCCATGGACGGTCTGCGCCAGCGCTTCGAGCGTTTTCTAGAACAGAAGAACGTAGCCACCGAAGCGCTCGGGGCGCTCGAAGCCAGGACCGGTGTAGAGAAGCGGTATCTCGCCGTGGGTGAGCCTGGAAGGGGGGGTGCATGTCGCGGGTCGCCGACGGGCACCGTGAGGTCCTGGGTCCCATCCCTGGGAAGGGCGCGCGTCGCGGGCCCTAGACGGGTTCCAGGGGGCCCTGGGAACCCAGACCTGGCTCCTGGGTTCCATCCCTGGAAAGGGTGCATGGCCCAAGTACCGGCTGGGCACCGTGAAGTCTTGGGTGCCCTCACCCTGGGAGGGGTTCCCATCTTAGGTCTCCGACGGGTTATGGGAGGCTCTGGGAACTCAGACCTAGCTGCGGTATCCCTAAAAGGGACTCACATCCCGAGTCCTTGTTGAGGCGTCGTGAGGTCCTGGGGACTCTGACCTACCTGGAAGGGGTTCACATCCCAGGTCCCCGATGGCCTCTGCAAGGCCATAAAGACTCAGACCTGGAAGGATTGCATATCTCAGGTTTCCGAGGGACCTGGTGAAAGGCCTCATGAGGTTCTGGGCACCCGGACCTGACTTTAGGGTCCCATCCTGCCTGGGAAGAGGTGCACAGCTGAGTCCCCAACAGGAAACCAAGATGTCCTGAGTCCTCATCCGTGCAAGGGGAACATGTTCTGGTTCCCCCATGGGCCCCGATGTCCGGGGACTCTGACCTGCCTGTGGGGTCTTATTCTAGATTCTGGAGAAGAGGGTCTTTAATTTGTCTGACTTTTCTCCAAGGTCTTTGGAAAAGGCCACCCTAGTGTACCGAAGCACTCCAGGTGCAGCCTGCCTCTTCCTGGGGCCCTGGCTGCATACCAGGCCCCAAGTTCCTGCAAGTCTGGTTTTTCCAGTGGCCCAGCTGACCCCTATGTGGGTAGAGAAACAAGGGACGCCCCCACTCAGTCCCCTGCCCCCACTCAGTCCCCTGCGAGTTCCCAACCCCTTCTCGAATATTCTCATGGAGAAATTCTCCATGCATCTCTGGAACATGGAGACTGACCCAGCACCCCGACCTCTTCCTCTTGCCACAACACAATAGCTTTGAGTCACTATTTGTTTAACTGAGGTGTCAGCTGGGATTTTGGGGGTTGGGAGCCTGGGGGAGGAACCATCCAAGTATCCCAATTGTAGGTCCATTCTAGTTCCAGGCCTTTCTGCAAGTGTGATAAGGGCCCCTGTGTGTCTTTCCAAAATGATTTTCGTGTGCCCCCTTTTTGTGTCTTCCGAATCCCACAGCCTTGTCCTGAAGTCCCTTCCTGAATCACAAGACCATGGGGGCTTCTATGTGACCTGTATCCCAGGTCATGAAGCCCCTTCTCCAGACAGACAGATCCCAAGAGTTCTGTGTACTCTCACTTCAGCGGGTGGAAGGTGGACTCCCATACCCGTGTGTGTGTGTGTGTGTGTGTGTGTGTGTGTGTGTGTCTGATATCTGTGCCCAGATCCCAGGAGGTCCCTCTCCTTGGGGTGTCTCTCCCACTGTACAGGGCCCCAGGTACAGGCTGCAACCTCTGATCAGGGTTTCCACATCACTAGGGAAATTACATCATAGTACCCTGGGAGGGGGTGGCCAGGAGGGGAACAGCTTGGGTGTCACCAGGAAGGAAACTGAGGCACAGGGGTCAGGGCTGTGTTGGAAAGCTGTCCATCATCTCCACATCCTGCCCCTCTGTCACCAAGTCTCCTCTCCCCGCCCTGAGGGCTTGGTGTCCACGATTATCTTCTTCCTGCTGAGGTTGCAGTTAAAGAGATTGAGGGGCCCAGTACACTGGGACAGCCCTTCCCCCATCGATGCCAGAGACAGGGTGGCATTTCCCCACCTGCTTCAGGACACTTATCTCAATAGAAATGGATTCTTAGGTTTCAACTGCTCCAAATGGCCACCCTGTGCCCCCAGGCACTAAATGAGGCAGGCAACTTAGACTCAGGGCAGTGATGGGAAGGTGACCCAACCAGCTGGGGCCAGCGGGAGTCCCCCTCCCCTTCAGCCTTAGGTTCTGGAGGATAAGACCCAGAGCAGGTGGAGGGAGGGCAGGCACTCTGACCTTAGACACAGAAGCCTGTGTCCCAGCAGATAACAGTCTGGGGAAGGAAGGAGGAGACATCTGGGCCCCAGCTACCCCGAGGGCAAAGGTCCCCTCTCACAGATAAGCCCTCCCATCTGCTAGCTCAGCCTAACCTCTGACCTTCCCTGGAGTACACAAGGCCCCAGGCCCCCCCAGCACTTTCCCACATGCTCCCAGCTCTCCCATGACCCTTCCTAGCATCAAGTTACAATGGCAGCCAGAGCCCCAGGCTTTTCATTGCTAAGAATGTCTTGGTGGCCAGGAGGCCGCTCCCTCGAACGTGGTAAGGGAGAGTGACTGAGCTACAGGGCCAGCCTCACTGGCACGTGGACGGTTCAGCGTGTGTGGAGATCCGATTGGTGGAACTGTAGAACATGGACTAGCATAGCTCACCTTGTTTGTTTTGGGGGCTTCTAGCACACACTGGAGAGAGAGAGAGAGAGAGAGAGAGAGAGAGTGTGTGTGTGTGTGTGTGTGTGTGTCCATCGAGTTGTTGGAACCATCAGCTCAGGCTCCCGATTACTTGGCAAGTGCCCTTCCCTGTTGCCCCCTGCGGCTGGCCACTCTCCCCTCTCTCTGGAGATGGCATTTCCCGGAACCTGCAGCTTGTTGCTTTGGTTACACTGACTGTCTAATGAGGTCCAAGGATCCATTTGTCTCTGTCCCCTCTGCCAAGTGCTGGGGCAGCAGACACAGTGCAGCAAGTCTGTTTGCTTTCTTTTGGTGGTATGTGCTGGGGGCCCAAGCCCAAGTCACCATGCTCGCATAGAAAGCATCAGATCAACCCTTTTTAGGTAGCGGGGTTTGAAACTCACATAGCCCAGGCTGGCATTGAACTCACTGCATAGAAGAATCGCCTTGTGTACTCTATCACACTGGCATACCACAGGCTGAGATAGGAGGAGCCAGAGTCCAAGGCCAGTCTGGGCTACAAAGCAAGACACAATCTTAAAAAACAAACAAACAACAACAACAAAAAAGTAGCCAACACGGCAGAGCCCACCTTTAATCCCAGCACTCAGGAGATGGCAGCAGGCAGCTCTCTGTGAGTTTGAGGCCAGCCAGGACTGCATTGTGAGACCCTGTCTCGAAGAAAAAGAAAAAGAAAAAAAAAAAAGAATGAACAAACAAACAAAAAACAAATAAACGAACTCTTGACCCAAAACTGAGCCCCAGCCTGGAGCTGAATGAGGTCCTTGCCAGCTCTGGGGCACTCAGGCACTCCCACCCCGTGAGGGAGATACAGCAGACATGAGACCAGGGTTCAAGGCAGCAACCGGGACGCATTGCCCGGAGTGTCCCCAGGAAGGAGGTGCAGGCTGCAGATGACACCAGAGACATTGCACGCCACCCTTGTCTTCCAGGAGCCCTCGCCCTCCTAAGCCTGTATCTTCTGTTCGGCTACGGGGCCTCTCTACTGTGCAATGTCATCGGATTTGTATACCCCGCATATGCTTCGTGAGTGCATCAGGCAGTCTGCGTGCAGGGGGGGTCCATGCGCAGGGCGAGAAGGGCTCTGGGGGTTCCCAGGGAGCACCGGAGTAGACATGTGCATTCCCATCTGGACAGAGTCAAAGCCATCGAGAGCCCAAGCAAGGAAGACGACACTGTGTGGCTAACCTACTGGGTGGTGTACGCCCTGTTCGGTCTGGTCGAGTTCTTCAGCGATCTACTCCTGTTCTGGTTCCCTTTCTACTACGCGGGCAAGGTGGGCAGGCCATCAGCACCGGCAGGGATGGGCAAGGGAGTGGGGCAGGGCCCTGTGTGACAGTGTGGTGTGTCCCCGTGGGGGGGTGCAGGGCCCTGTGTGACAGTGTGGTGTGTCCCCGTGGGGGGGGGGGCAGGGCCCTGTGTGACAACTTGATGTGTCCCCATGCAGTGCGCCTTCCTGTTATTCTGCATGACTCCGGGGCCCTGGAATGGGGCTCTAATACTGTACCATCGCGTCATACGACCACTATTTCTAAAACACCACGTGGCCCTAGACAGCGCCGTGAATCAGCTCAGCGGAAGAGCATTGGACATAGCAGCTGGGATAACCCGGGACGGTGTGTACTCGGGGTAGATGCCCAATGGGCTTGATCTGGATCATGGGTTTGTTTGGTTTTTTCCTTTGGGTTGTTTTGTTTGTTTGTTTGAGACAGGATCTTATTTGTAGACCAGGCTGGCCTGGAACCCATAGAGATCCACCTATCCAAGCCTCCCGAGAGCTAGGATTAAAGGTGTGTGCCACCACACATGTCTAGTTCATTTATTTTGAGACAGAAAGGATTTCATGTAGCCCAGGCTAGCCTCCAGCTCACTAAATAGCTGAGGGTGACCTTTTCATATTCATCTTCTTGCCTTCCTGAGTACTGGGATGACAGGTGTGACAGTGTCACCCCGCCCTCTCTGGCTCCTGGGTCTCAGCTGACCCTCTCTCTGTTGTCTGTCCCTCTGGCCGGATTTGCCTTTGTCTGCCCGCCTGTCTTGAGCCCCCTGACCCTGGCTATGCGCCCTGTCTTGCATCCTGACCACGCCCTGCATGGCTCCGCTATTCTCTTACTGTGCCTCTCTCTCCCTGGCTGTCGGGAACCAGTACTGCAGGCCCTAGCTCGGGGCCGGGCTCTCGTCACCCCAGCATCAGCAACGGAACCCCCAGCCGCTCTGGAACTGGACCGTATGTAATTCCTCAGGAGGGGTTGTGCAGGGTTCTTGTGCATTCTGTGTGCATGTTGTGTGTGGTTCTGCATCTGTGTGCCCGTGTATGGTGGTGCATGCTGCTCTGGGCATGTATTTGCAGGTGCCCACGAGGAGCAGAGTGGGTCTGTGTTCAGATGTCAGCAGGGGGTGACCAGCTTGCCTCTGCAGCTGAGCTGACAGCACATTCCCACCAGCTCCCCAGCCAGCCTCATCCACCCTCACCACCATCCCTTTCCTCTCCACAGCCAAGACAAGTCAGACCCCGCTCCTGAAGCACAAGTGAGGTCCCATGGCAGTCTGTGCGCGGAGCCCCTGGCCAACGACAAGGAGCACACAGCTGATGCCCAGGCCTCTCACTCCTCCTTGGACTCCCACACAGAGACCCAACATCAACGCCGAGTCTCGAGCCCAAGCAAGCCAACAGGAAGCCCGTCGCGGGCCGTGAACGGGCAGTCTCCGTCTCCAGTCAGCCCAGGTTCCACTAATGCATCCCGGGGCCAGCTGGCCACCGGCTCTGTCAGCGGCTCCCAGATTCCCAGCAAGGCCCGGGGCCATCATAGCCGGGGCAGTGTGTCTTCCAGGCCTGCACAGCGTACCCGGCTGCCCAGTACCTCCTTGGGGCCCTCTCAACCGGCCATGCGCTCTGGGGGGGGTTTACAGTCAGCAGTCCGGACCGCAGGAACCGCTCGGACAACAGGCCGTCACATGGGAGCCAACCAGCAGACCCCTCAGGCCTCAGCAGCAGCTCAGCCGACCAGCCGGTCAGCAGCAGCCACAGCAGCATCTGCACCCACCTCCACACAGCGCGTCAGCGTCTCCAACCAGGGCTCACCCAGGGCGCAGTCGCCCAGCCCATCCCCTGATCACAACCAGGCTGGCAGCGATCCAGGGGATGCGGGTTCCAAGAACAACAAGCAGGGGCAGAAGGCACAGGCCTCGGAGCTGGCCGGCAGCAGCTCGGTGCCCGAGCTGGCCCCCTGTCATTCCGATTCCTCTCTGGAGTATATGTCCGAGTCCACCACGGAGATCACCTGTAAATGGCCAGGTTATAGTTACCAGCTGCGCTGCCCAAGACACTGCTGGCTTCTACAACACCTGGCATACTAGGGTACCTGGACACCTGCCACAGGAGCCACAAAACCACTAGACCACTGGAGCGCCATATGAGAGCCACATCCAACACCTGCCACGGGAGCCACTGGAACACCATATGAGAGCCACATCCAACACCCGCCCACGGGAGCCACAGCAAACACCTGCCCACCTACGGAACAAAAGCAAACATCTGCCACGCCAGCACGTGAAACATCCAGCCAGTGCTATGTGAAACACCCAGCCGCTGGGCCCCTACATGTAAAACCTGCCCATGGATTCCATGTGAAACATCTTCATGGGAGCCCCACATGAAACACCACTACAGGAGCACATAAAACATCCATCAGGGTGCACATGAAACACCATCTGGGGTCCCATGTGTAACATCTATCCTCCAAGGCACACAATAAAGTCACCGGCTCAGGCTCCCGAGTGTGTCCGCTCAGCTGCTGGGTGGGGCTTTCGGGAATTAACACCAACCATGTGGTCAGGCCCGAGGAAGCAGAGGCAGGGGAAGGCAAAGTCACCTACCTTGAGTCCTGCCAAAGGTGCCAAGGCATGCACAAGCCCAGGCAGAAAACACATGTCTCCCTCCCTGAGACAGCATTTTGGTGTGTAGCTCAGGCTGGCCAGGAACATACAGTCTCCCGCCTCAGCCGCCCAAGTTCTGAGCCACAGCTATGAGCCACCCTGCATGGAAAAAATACTGTTAGTATTCACTCCCGACAGGGCATCCATGGGCCAAAGACATGCCATGAGCTGGTCTGGCTGGGAGTGGAGGGTCACCCCAGCCAGAGGGACCAGTCCCCTCCCTGTTACTGTTCCTAAGACCAGAAAGGTTTCTCGCGGTTTTCTAAGATTTCTAATTTTTACATTTGTCTGTGTCGGTCTGTGCATGAGGTGCCCGAGATGGCCAGAGGCACCAGTTGCCGATGTGAGCTACCAACATGTGTGCCGGGAACGGAACTTGGGTCCTCTAACAACGTCACACCTGGTCCTGTCCGTTCCTTGTTTTCTCTCCCTGTTCCCCCTCCTCCCTCCCCAGGGAGAAATGTCAGTCCCCACAACAGTCACACACAGATCAATCACACCCCCCACACAACACCCCCGGTCATAGGCTGTGGCCAAGTTTGTCCCCTCAGAGGCAGAGGTGGAGAGAATCCACATCCTGGGTTTGCTTGGAGAGGAAGGCAGAGGAAGGAGGTGACCACGTGAGAGAGGCCCGCTAGACACCTGACTCTCCTGCCTCGGCGGAGTGCTGGGCTGGGATCGGTGTGGCACAGAGCCAAGTCCAGACTAGTACCCTGCAGACAGCCTGGCCACAGACCAAGACCTAATCAGTGATTAGGATTTATTTTTCATAGTTCTGGGATGGGAACAAGGGATTCCTGAAGACTGGACCAGTGCTCCATCCTGACCACGCCTCCAACCCCTCATTGGGAGATTCTGGGCGGGGCTCCACCCTGACCACGCCCCAACCTCTCACTGGGGGATTCTGGGCGGGGCTCCACCCTGACCACGCCCCCAGACCCTCACTGGGGGATTCTAGGCGGGGCTCCACCTGACCACGCCCCCAGACCCTCACTGGGGGATTCTAGGCGGGGCTCCACCCTGACCACGCCCCCAACTCCTTCACTGGGGGATTCTGGGCGGGGCTCCGCCCTGACCACGCCCCCTACGTTCACTGAGATTGACACCCCTAGCCCTTTGAAAGGAATCTCCGGTAGAAACAACAGTGAGTGGGATCAGCTATAAACCCTGACTTATATGCTCACAGGGCTGTGGCCGAGTGGTTCCTAGGGTGACTTTTTCCCCGTACAGTATTGTGTAACTCAATCTCTCCCTTCCAAGGATCTGCTAGGGATGTATGACCTCTATGCATCCAACACAATTTTAAAAAAATGGAACAGCGCAGAGCGGTCAACAGTCCTCCCCCGACCTCGGTGCATTCCCATGGAGAAGGGGTAAGAACTTCGAGATACTGGGCTCAGTGCACTCATTAGTTCAAGACCATCCCCTCGCCGGGCGGTGGTGGCGCACGCCTTTAATCCCAGAACTTGGGAGGCAGAGCCAGGCGGATCTTTGTGAGTTCGAGGCCAGCCTGGTCTAGAGAGCGAGATCCAGGAAAGGCGCAAAACTACACAGAGAAACCCTGTCTCGAAAAACCTAAAAAAAAAAAAAAAAAAAAAAAAAAGACCATCCCCTGATACATAGGGAGTTTGAGGCTAGCCCGGGCTACATGAGACCTTTTCAGTAGTATTTGGGCCGGGTGTGGTATCACAGGTCTTTAATCCCAGCACTCAGGAGGTACCATCAGGAGGATCTCTGTGAGTCTGAGGCCAGCTTGATCTACATAGCAGTTCCAGGACAGCCAGGGCTAGCTACATGGTGAGTTCCAGGCTAGCCTGGTTTACATATTAAGTAAAGAAAGTAATAAAAAATAAATTCAATCAAATGATTGGGGAAGTGAGGTCAGGAAGACTGTTTGCCAGGGGCAACAGGAGCTGCTGTCCAAAGGTCCCGGGGCAGAAGGCACCAGCCTGTGCAAAGCCTGGTGCAGGATGGGGCCTGGCATGTTGCCCTGGATCAGAGTGGGTGGTGGCGGCAGAAGAGAGGAAGCCTGAGGGCCGAGGGACCTGCAGGAACTCGGAGATCGTGGAGAGGACTTTGGCTTTTGCTCTGGTAGGATCCAGGGCAGTCATTAATTAACTTTCCCCAGTCCCAGTGACTGTCCCCTTGGGCACTAGAGATGGGTTGGTTGCCGCAGCTGGTTTGATCTGACCTGTGGCCTGCGGTGAGGGGGTGGGTAGGGACAGGCAGAGGGGTCGGGGAATCCAGCTTGGGGATGGGGGGGTGCAGCAAAAGGGAACTGGCGAAGGCTCCTCCTGTCTGAGGTGGGTCCCACCCACCCAGGTCAGCCAATGGGGAGGCAGTGGAAGGGAGGGGCCCTCCTCCCAAGGCCGGAAACCTCCCCCTGGCCTGTTAATTTAAACTACAGATGAGCCAGGTATGGGTTAGGATAGGATGGGGGACATCCTCAGCTGCATAGTGCCTTAGGGTCTAGCCTGGGCTATGTGAGACCTTACTGACGGGAAGTCATGGATCCTGGATTTGGCTAGGCTGGCCATCAGGCCCAGGGATGCTCTGCCCAGCTGTTCACACAGCTCCCGAGGATCTGAACTCAAGCCCTCTTGCTTACGGAGGTAAAGCACTCACTGTATCAACAGAGCCACAGCCTCAGGCCCCTCCGTCTCCTCTGTATTTTGAGACAGGGTCTTCCTTAAGTTTCCCAGGTGGCCCTGATGCTCATCCTGCCTCCAGTCCCCACTGGGACCACAGGTCTGGGCCAGCAAGGTGTCTTCCTGCGGTTATTTCCAGTTACTAATGACTCCCAATGTTTTCAATGAAAACATCCCCCCTTTATTGGTCACCACAAAGAGCCACATTTGAGATGGACGGCATTCTGGGGGACAGTCACCGGTCTGTCACTGGAGCCGGCAGGCTGGGCAATGCCGTGGTGCCCAGGGGAACATCCGGCCTCATGCTCCCGGCTGCCCCAGGACAACCAGCCACCTGAGCCTTTCTGCTACTCCTGGGTTACTCCTGTCATGGGCGCCGGGCGCTGGCCGGAGATGACCCTGTGTCACGTTGGGCAGCCATTATAGGTGAGTGAGGTCGCCAAGGCCCCCTGGAGCTCTCCCCTGAGGACCATCTCCCACCCTGGGAATCGATGGTCGAGCCACGAGGGGGCGCTAGGACCCTGCAGATCCCTGTAGACCCCAGCTGCACGTGGTGTGGGATTTGGGGGGGATTCTTGGTGCCCTCTACACCCCAGTGCCATAAAAGATCCATTAAACAAACGACCCCTGCTTATCCCATAACAGCACTGTGCCTCCCCAGGACTTGCTGGGTCTCCCGCATACAGTCAGTGCTCAATAAATGTTCATAGACAGAGCTAACAGATGGGGAAACTGAGGTCTTTGGAAGGGCGAGGCGACTGTGGTCAGAGCCAGAGGGGCTCTTATGGAGGATCGAGGCAAGGTCGACAGTCTGCTGGTCTCTGGATCCCAGTCCTGGATGGTCACTGAGGACAGCTTAGACCATATGACAGAGACAGGGCCCAGAGAGGGACACCCCACTGGGGACGGCTTGTTGAGTGACTGGAGGACAGACGCCCATGATGTACAGACACTGAAATGAACTGATAGCCTGGATAGAGGACAGCTCAGGAGGCACATCGACTCTCCTGTGTGTCCCCAAATCTCACACCTCCTGTGCTGGTCTCACGGTGGCTCCAGTGCCCTGGGGAGGGGGGGTGTCAGGAAAAGATAGTAACTTGGGGTGTCCCTGAGCCTATACGGCTGACGAGTGACGGGGAAGGGCTTTGTTCTTTTTCCGAGTTCTTGTACAAGTTAAATAGTAATTTAAAAAGGGATGGACCGAAGTCGTTTGGTGGAAAGGCAGCCTGGTGGCGCAGGCCCTTAGTCCCAGCACTGGGGAGGCGGAGGCAGGCGGATCTCCTGATTCAAGGCCAGCCCGGTCTACGCAGCGAGTTCCAGGCCAGCCAAGGTTACAAACATTGAGATCTGTCTCGAAATATCCTGGCGGGAGATTTTTCTGAGTCACGCGACACCAGAAGAAGCCGCTGGTGAGCGCGCACGGCCGCAGGTTTAGACTGGACAGCGCCGAGCAGCCAGGCGAACTCGGCTGTCCTCCGCAGGACTCCAGAGCCGCGCATAGCCAGCGTGGGGCAGCAGGAGCCGGTCCTGGGTGCCATCGGCGCTGACCAGTCGCCTGACAGCCAGTAGGTACTCTCGATGGGGGGCCAGTGGCGGGCAGGGGCAGGGGCCTGGCGCCCACACATACTCTCGAGTGCGCAGCGGTGAGTGGGTTTTGTAGATGAGCAGGACACGCACCTCATAGCGGGTCTCCTCGGCCTGCCGGTGGCGGCCCAGCACGCGGGCCTGGAACACTGCACGAAGGTGACACCGAGGGTCAGGTGGGTCGGCTGAGGTCAACGGAGAGGGTCAGAGCAACGATCCAGGAGGAGTTAAGGGTCATTGGGGTCAGTAGAAGGGGCCGAAGGTCAGGGGTCTCACCAAAGTCGCTGCCACAGTAATGCAGAAGCCGGTGTGCGCGCCCCCTGCTGTCAGGGCATGGCCCGCAGGGGTCTAAGGGGAGGGGGTGTTGTCATGAGTGACACAGGCCTTGCTCCCTGCCTGATACCTCCCCCCCCAACCCCCCGCGCGCGCGCGCGCGCGCGCGCGCTGCCCTCGCCTCACCTGGGGTCAGGGATGCAACCCGGGCAGGGACGGCCTCGGGGACCACAGGGGTGTCCGCAGGCTGCGGCTCCACCTCCCGAGGCTGAGGCTGTCGCAGGGGCCAGCCCAGGGCCTGCGCCTGCGCCTGGAAGGGACCGTAGCGCTCCCGGGGCAGCCAGAACTCGAAGTGCACGCCCGGATTGGGCTCCCGCAGCAGCACCTGGAGCGGGAGGGCGCGGGAGCTGGTGGCCCACCCTGCCCCTCGGACCTCTGCTCCCCATCTAACTGACCCCAGCGTCCCGCCTCAAGCCGTCCACTCCGGCCCACCTGCAACAACAGCTCCTGGGAGGTGGGCCCGGTCGCCTGCAGAGTCTCCTCGGGGCCCGCCCCGCGGGTGTAGACCACGCGGGTGCCCGCAGCCTCATAGGTGCCAGGCAGGCTGAGCACCCCGTTGGCGCCGTTGAGTACGTAGCGCCCGTCGCGGGTCACCAGCGCTGCAAGAACCCAGTCAGCCTGCGCTCGCGGGAACCGCCTGCCCCCACACCCAGCCTCAGTTTCCCCAGGCGCCCCGCAGTACCCAGGTTGTTGTGGCTGCGCTGGGCCACGCGGATGTGCCTGGCACCTTCGGGGATCAGAGTCACGTTCCAGTAGCCGGCGAAGGCACCTGGGGCAGGCGGGAGGTTGGGGGTGTAGCACGGCAGGATTTTCTGGGATGCGCTGGTGTGCGCAGGTGGAGGGGTAGCGGTTTGCACTGGGACGCACTGGGGTACACCGGAGGGATGCTGTAGGGTGCGCAGGGGAGGGATGCTGTAGGGTGCGCAGGGGAGGGATGCTGTAGGGTGCGCAGGGGAGGGATGCTCTGGGGTGCGCAGGAGAGGGATGCTCTGGGGTGCGCAGGAGAGGGATGCTCTGGGGTGCGCAGGAGAGGGATGCTCTGGGGTGCGCAGGGGAGGGATGCTCTGGGGTGCGCAGGAGAGGGATGCTCTGGGGTGCGCAGGGGAGGGATGCTCTGGGGTGCGCAGGGGAGGGATGCTCTGGGGTGCGCAGGAGAGGGATGCTCTGGGGTGCGCCGGGGAGGGATGCTCGGGGGGGTGCACAGGGGAGGGATGCTCGGGGGTGCACAGGGGAGGGATGCTCGGTGGTGCACAGGGGAGGGATGCTCTGGGGTCCGCAGGGGAGGGATGCTCTTGGGTGCGCAGGGGAGGGATGCTCTGAGGTGCGCTGGGGAGGGATGCTCTGGGGTACACAGGAGACGGATACTAGGGGGTGCGCAGGAGAGGGATGCTCAGGGGTGCGCAGGGGAGGGATGCTCAGGGGTGCGCAGGGGAGGGATGCTCGTGGTGTGCAGGAGAGGGATGCTCAGGCTCAGGGGTACACAGGAGAGGGATGCTTGGGGGTGCGCAGGGGAGGGATGCTCAGGGTGCTCAGGGGAGGGATGCTCGGGGGTGCGCAGGGTTGGATGCTCTTGGGTGCGCAGGGGAGGGATGCTCTGGGGTGCGCAGGGGAGGGATGCTGGGGGGTGCGTAGGGTTGGATGCTCGGGGGTGCGCAGGGGAGGGATGCTCGGGGGCTCGCAGTAGCGAGGTGCACTTTGGATGCGAGAGTGTGCTCAGGGACCGATAGCTTCGGATTAAATGAGATGCTACTGAAGAGAGGCAGGGAAGGGGTTAAGAGCGCATCTATTCCAGAGAGGGTGGGACGCTCTGTCAGCGGCCAATCAGGATAAGGGCTTGAGGAGCGGGGCCTCCGAATGTCCAATCAACGAGAGTCTTGGCTCCCGGGAGCCCGCCTTGTTAAAGGGACACCCCTCTCCACGGTACTCCTCAAGCGCATGCGCTGAGGCGGGACGGGGCAGTCACCCGCGTCGCGGAACACGCGCTGCACGAACAGGCACGAGTCGTTGGCGCCACCGCAGAGGCCGCAGCGGTCCTCGAGGGCGCCGGAGCCCAGCAACCCGTCACAGCCGGCGCTCTGCGGGGGACACGGGGTCAGGGTGGGCGTGGCCGCGGGGAGGGGCGTGGCTGGGTGAGCCGGGCGCGCTGAGTGGGCAGGGCTCATGACAGAGGCGGGGCTGCAGAGAGTGCACCGCAAGGGAGAGCTAGGCGAGAGGGGCGGGGTCTGGTGATGACGCTTCCTGGTGGGCGGGGCCTGAAAGGAGGCGGGGCCTAGGCGGAGCCCGGCTGGGATTGGTGTGTTGGGTTTGGAGGAAAGTGTGGGAGGAGCCACGAGCATGTGACTGGAGGGGTGGGTGGAGCCTGGAGCCAAATGGGCGGGCCTTGAAAGAACCGGAGAGAGGGGCTGGGGGCCTGGACCTGAACGGTGGGCGGAGTCTAGCGTGAAGGGGCGGGGCCCGGTGTAATTGGTTGGAGGCGGTCGGGGGCGGGGCCTGCAGGGAAATGGGCGGTCGGGGCGGGGCCAGCGGGTCCTCACCAGACAGCGGCCAGCGACGCAGAGGCCCTGGGACCCCGGGGTGCACGGGGTGCCGTCCAGCACGCGGCCGAAGCTATGGTAGAAGGCGTGGCCCTCGGCCAGGCAGTTGAGGTCACACAGGTTGGGTGCTGAGGGCGGGAGGGCTGGGTGAGTCCGGGGCCTGCATCCCATGCCGCCCGACAGGCCGCCTTCCTCCAGCCCTGCCCTCTTCACCGCCCACCTCCACGCTCCCTGCTCCAGGCCATGCACTCTCTTTCTTTTTGTTTGTGTTTTTTTTTTTTTTTTGAGACAGGGTCTCTTTACATAGCCCCGGCTGTCCTGGATCTCGCTCTGTAGCCCAGGCTGGCCTCGAACTCACAGAGCTCCTCCTGCCTCGGCCTCACTTGCCCTGGGATCAAAGGCGTGCGCCGCCACCTTCCGGCCCACAAGCTTGCCTACACCCCAGTCTCCTCCATCCCCCAGCGCTCCATTCCTCCGTGCCCTGCCCCTCCCCGGCCACACCCCCATTCTCTGCCCTCCAGCTTCCCATTCCGGCCCAAGCCTGGAGCCTGGCTGTACTACCGGCCTGCACCTCAGTTTCCCTTCCTTGTCAGGTGAGGCCCGCAGGCTGGCTGGCGGCAGACCCTGCCGGGGACAAGGGGATGGGACGGCGCGGAGGCCCCGGGAGTTGGTGGAATGGTCCCCGCTTGGGGCTGGCCTATCTGTCCCCACCGTGCCGGCGTCCCAAGCTGCCTGTCGCCCTTCACTCTGGAGGCGTGCTGCCCCGGGCACCCAGTTATATAAGCTGCTATTTTCAGCTCCGTGCGACAACATTTCCTGTTAGTGGGATCAGCCTGAAAACTGTTGGCCTCTGGATAAAACTCTTAGAGTCAATCCTCAGCCTAGCGTTTGACGCTGTGCCAACGGGACCGCTTCCTTCCTTCACCAGCTCCTACATATGCTTCAAAACCCCATTCCAGTGCCTGCCTCTCTGGGTGTTTCTGAACTCCTTTCAAAGTTCTCTCTCTCTCTCTTTTTAACCCCAGGAGGTCAGATTACTCACCCCCGTGGAAGGGCACCCATTGGTAGGTCTTCTGGGTGCCCAGGACAGGGTGGCCATTGTAGAGAGCACACTGCAGGTCTCGGAAGGGTATTGCCCCTGGGGGGCAGTCCTGGGAGAGGATACAGATGGGTAGATGAGACCAGGGAAACCGAGCGGGGGCATTTGGGGCGGGGGTAACAAGGCAAGAGGGATGGGGCGGACGCGGGCTTACTGGCAGCTGGCACACGCGGTATTCATGGCTGTCCCCCCAGCAAGGTTCCTCTCCGGGAAGTCTGCAGGAAGCAGGGTGGTCTGGGCGTCGCGGGACCCCCACCCCGGGGACCCCTTCCCGTCGCCCGCCAGGCCGCCCCCCCCCCGCGCCGGCCCCGCCCGCATTCCAGCGAGCTCCGTGGGATGAAAGGGCACGCGGCGTGTGTGGGCAGGTCGGGGGGCGCGGGCGGGCGGGGCCGGGGGAGGGCGCGGGCGGGCAGGGCCGGGGTCGAGGGCGCGGACAGGCGGAGGGCACGGGCCGGGGGCGCGGGCGGGCCGGGGGCGCGGGCAGGTCGAGGGCGGGGGCAGGGCCGGGGGCGCGGGCGGGCGGGGCCGGGGGGCGCGGGCGGGCAGGGCCGGGGTCGAGGGCGCGGACAGGGGGAGGGCACGGGCCGGGGGGCGCGGGCGGGCGGGTGGAGGGCGGGCGGGCGGGGGGCGCGGGCGGGCGGGCGGGGGACGCGGGCGGGGCCGGGGGCGCGGACAGGCGGAGGGCACGGGCCGGGGGCGCGGGCGGGCGGGTCGGAGGCGCGGGCGGGCGGGGGGCGCGGGCGGGCGGGGGGCGGGCGGGCGGGGCCGGGGGGCGCGGGCCGGGGGCGCGGGCGGGCGGGGTCGGGGGCGCGGGCGGGGTCGGGGGCGCGGACAGGCGGAGGGCACGGGCCGGGGGCGCGGGCGGGCCGGGGGGCGCGGGCGGGCCGGGGGGTGCGGGCGGGCAGGTCGAGGGCGCAGGCGGACCAGCGGAGGGGCGGCCCCCGGAGCGGCTCCCGCCTTACCGGACACAGCGACGGCTGCGCACAGAGACGCCCCGGCCGCACGAGCTGGAACACCGGCTCCAAGACCCCCAGGGCGTCCACTCCCCCGGACCCTACTTGAGGGTAGAGAGGAGGGTCAGCCAGGGGGAGAGCTGGGGTCCCCGCCGCATCCACGTCCCTACGCCGCTCCTGGGCTCCTTCACCCCCTTACCTGAGCAGTAACCCCCAAATCACAGCTCAGGAGGGTCCACAGCAAGAGCAGAAGGTTCCGGAAGAGGCGGGGTCCGGGGGAGCACACAAGTCCCAGGAGGCGGTGATCAGCAGGACCAGGGTGGATGGCCATCTCAGCCCTGGCTGGCTGTGTGATCCCCGAGGGCAGCTAAACCTCTCTGTGCCCTCTTGTCCCTAAAAAGAAATGAGGTAACAACAGCCCCGCCCCCTTTCCGGAAAGCCTCGAGGGGGCTGTTGGCTCAGGTCAGGCACTCCGCGGGGACTAGGAACTTCATGTGTTGTTACTTGTTTTGAAATGAATTTTACTTTAGATGCATGTGGTGGCGCACGCCTTTACTCTCAGCACTCGGAGGCAGAGGCAGGTGGATCTCTGTGAGTTCGAGGCCAGCCTGGGCTACAGAGTGAGTTCCAGGACAGTCAGGGCTACACAGAGAAACCCTGCTTCAAAAAATAAACAAAGCAGAAAGTTTGTTTTTGCTTACAGTGCGGTGCCCGAAGAGGCCGGGAGCGCCGGGCCCTTCAAGCTGAGCTGAGTCACAGTTGGGAGCAGCCTGACAAGGTCCTGGGACCCAAACACGGTTCTCTCAAAGGGCAGGAGGAGGCCTTGAACCCTGAACATCTCCCCAGCTCCTCGTTTGTTTATTGGAGACAGGGTCTCACGGTGTAGCCCAGGCTGGTCTGGGACTTTCTATGTAGACCAGGCTGGCCTTGAATCCACAAGATCCGCCTGCCTCTGCCTCCCGAGTGCTGGGATTAAAGGTGTGCGCCACCATGCCTAGGTTATTTATTTATTTTTATTTTTTGAGACAGGGTCTTGTAGCCCAGGCTGGCCTTGAGCTCCCTAGGTTGCTGAGGATGACCTTGAACTCATGACCTTCCTGCCTCCCCTTCTAGTGCTGAAGACTAGGTGTTTGCCCTAGGACCTAGCTCCTCCTCCTCCTCCTCCTCCTCCTCCTCCTCCTCCTCCTCCTCCTCCTCCTCCTCCTCCTCCTCCTCCTCCTAGACAGTCTTGCTCTGGTAGCTCCGGTTAGGCCCAAACTCTGGAAAATCCTCCTGTCTCAGCCTCCCAGGTCCTGACTAACAGGCCTGGGCTGCCACACAGTCAGCTTAATCGGCTGTTATTATTGGTAATATGTTCTTTTCTAATGCACACAGTAGGTGCCTAATGCCAACCACGGGAGGGATCCTTTAGGGACAGTGTTTAGGTGGCTGCAAGTTTATCCACCCCTTCCATCTACCTTCTTGGGTGGCCAGGAGCCAACCATTCCGTTTCCTCGGGCCTCAGTTTCCCGGTCTGTGCAGTGTCCATGAGTCTCTTAGACCCTGTAGAGGGGGCAGCCAGTGGGGGCTCCTTCAGAAACCCGGGATACAATGGGTGCCGCCCTCCCGGCTGCGCCCCAGCCTCTGGGGGGGACCCCTCTGCTCCCAGACACCCCATAGCCTAAGGGAATCCCCCCGTGGTGGGCGGGGAAAGCTGACCTGGCCTCCTTCCAGCATGTGCGTCATGGTTTCATCTGCCAGGGGTGTGGGCTGCGGCGCCCCGAGGGTCTGCAGAGAACAGGGGCAGGGTCCGGCTGAGCAGAGGCCTCAGTTTCCCCCATCTGCGGGGACGGGATGAAGTCATTCTCGGCCCACGCCCTCCTCGTGATCCGGGCCTGGCAGGACAAGCCAGGAGGGACCGGAACCAAGGCCCCGTGAGTCCCTTCTGGGGCCGGGGCCAGGCGCTCTGAAGGGCACACAGGAGCCCAGAGTCCCGCAGGGTCCGGGTACCTGATGAGGGGAGGCCGGGGTCCCGCAGCCCGGCCGGAGCCAGGGTCTCCCCGGTGGTCAGCCAGACTGATGCTGTCACTGCACCCTCTGGGGCACCTTGGGGACCGAGGCGGCTGTAGAAGCTGGAACCCCTGGGGAGTTGCTTCACGACGCCCGCCGGGAGCCCTCCCTCTGCGGCCCCAGAGGCTGGGCTGGCCCGGGAAGGAAGAGAGAGGCTGGGGAGGGGACCCGGCCACCCCACACCCCCTTCGTGGGGGCCTCCTACCCCTGCCTGTCAGTGCTCTCTCCGGAGCAGTACACCCCTCCCCTGCAAGGCGTAGCAGTCACTGGGCGAGCCGGTCCTCAGAGCTGCAGTTCCACCCCGGAGGAAGTGCGACACCCCCAAACTCACCACCATCCTAGGGATCGCTGCTTTCGCCCCAAGGAGGGGCCACACCAGCCGGGATAGTGGCAGGATGAGAAGAGGGACTTACCGGCTGCTCAGAGCCCAAGGCAAGGCGTCCAGGCTTCCCTGGGACGCCCCAGGGACTGGCGGAAGCGGCGGGGCCCCGAGGTGCGGGACTGGGAAGCTCGGTCGGTCCCTCCCACCCGGGCCTCCCAGGCGCGCCCAGGCTGGGGTCACCGAGGGCGCAGGCCCAGGGCGCCCTCGTGCGGTGGGAGAGGGCGCAAGAGCTGGGCATGGAGCTGCGGCAGGGGACTGACCGACCGCGCCTGGCAGCGTCGTCGTGGCCCAACGTTGGTCGTGGTATCCTGGGTGCCAGTGACCTTGGGAAGTCCAGCTGCGGGGCGGTGCGCGGGGGTGACCGGGCTGCTATTCCGGGCGCCGCACTCAGGGCCGGGGAATGTGCGCGGAGCTGGGGCTTTGAGTGGGATAGTGCGTACCCCGAGTACCCCGTCCTGGTCCTCAGCACCCCGCAGCCAGACTCTCCAGCCCCGTCCCCATCACCCGCTCAACCCAGGCTCCTATCCATCCCAGGGGGCCCCAACCCGGTCCCCATCTCCCCCAGTTAGTCCTGCACGCCCGCCGGGGACCCATCTCCCCTCTAGAACCAGACTCCCCAGCCGGGTCCCTAGCACCCCTTCCCGAGGCCCCGCACGCCCGCTGGGGGCGGAGGGACCCTCCCTGCCGCACATTCCCGGGCGCTGCCGTCACCGATCCTCCACCCAGCCCCGCCCTCCAGGCCCGCCGCCAGTGCCGCTTCCCTCGCCTGGTTCTGGCCCCAAGTCCTCCGCCTCAGTTTCCCCAACCCTGGTACCCAGCCAGCTTCTTTTGGATCCTCCAAGGCTCCCAACAACCCCACCTCCTCCGTGGCGTCCCCTGACAGCCGGGCGCTGCACTTGCCTCCTCTAGGAAGCGCACCTGGCTGACCCTGGTGGGGAGAGCTTTCCCCCTCAGCGAGCAGGGCCTGCAGTATTTACTCCATGCAGGGCACAGTGCCTGCTGTATACACCTGCTTCAGGGCAGTCTGCTGGACAGGGCCCAGCAAGGGACAGCCATTGGGAACGTCTCAGAGTATAACCAGTCAGTGTTATCTTCAAGTCACTGTGTGCGCATAGCTGTGAGCCAAGCCGCCAGCCCCAGCCAGGGCAGGAGGCCACCCGGGCCATCAGTCCCAACTTCGAACGCCCATCATCCGGTTGAAGAAAAGAGTCAAAGCCTGGCATGGAGCGTCAGAAGGGGTCTCACCGAACAGGGGCCAGAGAGAGGGGTGGCCTAGCCGGGGTCAGCACAAGAATAAGGGACGGTCCTGGAGTCCTGGTGTGGGAAGAAGGGGCCTCGGTGAAGCAAAGATGAGGACAGCGTGGGGGAGGGGAGCCCGCGCAGCAGACACTCTGATTTACAGGGGAAATATGCAACAGGAACTATACTCTCCAAGGAGTGCATCTAGCGGGCACCGAAGGGGAGCATACATCAGGCGCCATGTCCTTTATATACCTGTTTACAGGAAGCACTATGTCTTGCGGAATGTGCATACAGCAGGCCCTGTGCCTGGCATGGCGCACATGTACAACAGGCATTCCCCTTTGCAGGAATAGTATACAGCAGGCACTCTGCTGGGCAGCCCCTGCCTACAGTAGGCACTATGCTCTGAAGAGTGTGTCCACTGGACGTAGTTCTTTCCCCAGAGTCCCTTCGGTACAGCAGGCGCGCCGAAAAGCGCCGCAAAAACCGAGCCCCGCACGGAGGCCCTAGAGCGGGCACTGGTCCTGAAGGAGCGTATACAGTAGGTGCTGAGCTCTGCAGGGTGCGTTCGGGCAGGCGCTGTGCGGAGCCCCGTGCAGCCCGGCCTCTGGCCGGCAGAGGGCGCCGCAGGACGCCGGAGCTCCGTCAACTTGGCCGCTGGGGACAGCTCAGCTCCACACCCCCACCCAGCTGGGTCCCCACCCTTGGGAGTTCCTAGAACCCCGAGCCAGGACGGGATGCGGACAGGGGACAGGGCTTAGTGGGGCTCTTGGCTACCCGTATGTCCAGAGCCCTGGGCTTACGAAACCCAACGGCTTACAGCTCGGCTTATGCACTTTAACATTTATCAAGCCGGTACAAGTGGGCGTGGCCATACAGGAGGGTCGGGCGTTTAAGGTCATCCTCAGCTACATAGGATGTCTGAGCCAACCTGGGCTACGTAAAACTCGGTATCAGCGCAAGACAGGGTTCTGGGGTTGGGGCTTATCTGGCACCGTCACACCTAAGGGCGTGCGAAGCCTGGGGGTGGCGGTCATCCCCAAGACAGCAACCAGGAGAGGCTGCACACACCTGACACCCCAGAACTGTGGAGGGTGGAGGCCGGAGGATCAGGAGTTCAAAGTCATCACTGGTTACAGATTGAGTTCGAGGCCAGCCTAGGCTCCAGAGTGAGACTGCCTCAAAAATCAGGAAGAGAGGCTGAACCTTGGGGCGCCCTGTGGGCCCCTCAGAACTCCCCTGGGGTCCTTGAGGACCGAGGCCTGGCACCTGGTTCCCAGGATGCTCTCTCCTGCCTCCCGAGGACGCTGAGGTCCCATCGCCGCCATCCAGACTCTGCCCCATGGCACGGGGATAAGGGTGCAGAATCAGGACCCACACTGTCCAGGTCATCCTGTGCAGGGGTGGGGTGGGGTGGCTCTGGGCTCCTGTCTTCCCTCTTGGGTGCTCACTTATGGAGGAAGCCTTTTGTTTTCTTTTGGCTTTTCCTGGTGGCTGGCACCGGGCTCAGGTGCCTGGTGCCTCCTACGCATTGTCAGCCCAAGAACTGTGGGGAGCAGGGAGGCAGAGGCAGCGTCTGAGGAACTGGAGTTCCTGGATCCAGCATGACCTGAAGCCGGATGCCTAAATTGCTTTCTACTTTGGCAACATTGGGTTCAGGTGGCTTGTGTGCGCGCATGATGTGGAGGCTGGAGGTGGACTTTGGGCGTCTACAAGTGCTCTCTCCCATGTGTTTTCAGACAGGGTCTCTCCCTGGAACTCACTGATTCACCTAGGCTGTCTGGCCAGGGAGCCCCGATCCTTCCCGCCTCCACTTCCCCAGTGCTGGGGTTATAGCTGATTTCCATGCATTGTTTTGAGACAGAGTCTCAAGTAGCCCAGGTTGGGCTTGAACTCTTTCTGTAGGGAAGGATGACCCCGACCCTAACCTCCGAATCCTCATGCCTCCACTTGCTGAGTTTTGGGATGGCAGGCATGTGCTACCATGCCTGGCTCACTGCCCCCATCATCCCCTGCACCCCCATTTCTGCTGAGACTCAGCTCTTTCCCTGCCATTAGCAAAAAGACCCACACAGACAAAAACAGATCACTCCTGCAGAAACCCGGCCAGTTCTGACGTCCACCCAGCACCTGCCCAGCGGGTCAATCAATGTCCCTGCTCGGAGGAGGTCGATGCCATGTCCGGCAGGAGAAAGGATGTGGGGAGGGGCCTGTGCCGCACAAGTCCCACCTGCTGGTCAGTGGCACCAAGGACTCAGGTCCCCTGAGGACACCAACCCTGTCAGCAGAATCATGGCCGATTCAGGAGGGCCAGAGAGCAGGGACAGCTCAAAGACGAATCAGATCTTGAAGCTGCAAGAACACACTTGGGGCAACAGGGGGTCGGAGAGGTTTCAGGGCAGGGCCTGGCGGCGCACACCTTTAACCCCAGCCCTCGGGAGGCAGAGGCAGGTGGATGTCTGTGAGTTAGAGGCCAGCCTGGGCTACAGAGCGAGATCCAGGACAGCCAGGGTTGCACCGAGAACCCTGTCTGGGGGGTCAGGGGTTGGAGGGATGGCTCACAGAGCTTCCTGCTCCTGCAGAGGACCTGAGTTCAGTTCCCAGTACCCACACTGGGCAGCTCTGGGGGAATCTGGAGAGTACTGCAAGCACATATACACAGATATACACAGAATTAAAAATAAGCCGGGCGGTGGTGGCGCACGCCTTTAATCCCAGCACTCGGGAGGCAGAGGCAGGCGGATCTCTGTGAGTTCGAGGCCAGCCTGGGCTACAGCACGAGATCCAGGAAAGGCGCAAAGCTACACAGAGAAACCCTGTCTCGAAAAACCAAAAAAATAAATAAATAAATAAATAAATAAATAAACAAACAAATAAATAAATAAATTTTTTTCAATAACTACAAAATTTAAAAACAAAGAAAAGGTCAGAGCAGATCGACTCAGCAATAGAAAATTGTTCTTTTTTTTCAAATTTTACTTTATTTTTCCTTTAATTTTTATCATTTTATTTTTTATGTGTATTGGTGTTTTGCCTGCATTTATACCTGTATGAGGGTGTTGGATCCTGGAGCTGGAGTTACAGACAGAGCTGCCACGTGGGTGCTGGGAATTGAACCCAGGTCCTCTGGGAGAGCAGCCAGTGCTCGTAACTGAAAAGTCATCTCTCCAGCCTGGGGAATTACGTTTTAGATCTGCCAGTCTCGCTCTTGTTTGTGGCTGAATGACATTCCAGCGCGTGGATGGGCGCACTGTGCATCCATCATCCGTCTGTGGACACTGGGCTGTCCTGGGAAGATTCATGGTGAGAGTGCTCTGTGGAGACACAATTGTGTGTGCAAAGGCCCTGGGGTAGGGTAGGCTGGGTGTGGGTGTGACAGTTACAGGAAGACTGGAGTAACAGGGGAGAGGTGGGTGTGGGGGAACACAGGGCCTGACCCCGTCCGACCCTGAGGGTGCCACAGCGCCGAGACCTTCATGAGCTTCCTGCTGCTCTGAAGTGGGCACGAGACACTTGACCTCCAGGATGCAGCCACTGTGCCGTGGGGATGGGTTCAGGGGTGGGCCGTTCCTCTGGTCCTTTCTTGTTGTGAAACAGTCTCCCCAGTTCTCCGAGTCCCCCCCGTGGGTTCCGGCCTCAGTGGCCCTGAGGGTCGAGCGGCTGCCACCTGATTCTGCAGATTGGCTTCGCCCAGAGCCCTTGCTTCAGGCTCTGCATTTGAGAGGTTCAGAGTGAGATGTGGGAGGGACGTGAGTGGTTCATGTCAGCCCGTCCCCACCGCCACCGCTAAAGTCACCTTCCTGGGCAGTTGCTCCCACACACTCCTGCTGGGTCACTTTGCCCAGATCCTGGGGTGTTTGGAGTGCTCAGGAAAGCCGCTTCCCTCCTGCTTCCTAACGCTCGGACTCCACGTCTCTGGAGATGTTTTTCTGGGTGGCTGAGGGCTCACGGGTGCAGCCACGTGGAGCCCAGGTAAGGACAAGGCACCGTCCCTCAGTCATGCGGCCGGGAGGCCTGGGCCACCTCGAGGACCCACACACAAGCCCCGAGAGTCTCCGGGGAGTCTCAGTGGCGGACGGCAGCCACCCCCTCCACCTGCAGCAGGTATTTTGAGCAACGCTTCCCAAAACTTCTCCAGAGAAATCTGCTGAATCCGAAGAGTTATCTCAGGTCAGCAAAAGCAGAGAGACGGGAAGGAACCATGGCTGGGCCGAGGGCACCCCAGCTTCAGGGCGCTCCGCCTAAGACGGCAGGCCATGGGGGCTCAGTGTCTAGTGTTGAGCTGGCCAGTCTTTGCCAGGTGTGATGGTACATGCCTGTCATCAGGAACTCAGAAGGCTGGGACAGCAGGGTGAGGAGTTCAAGGCCAGCCTGGGCTACATGGGCATTTCTGTCTTTTTAGTGCATGGTTCATCCACACACCTGTGCAACTGTCCCTGCCTTTCATCTCCAGAACGTTCCGTTTCCCCACACCGAAGCTCTGTTGCCAATCAATATGAACGCTCACCCACTCCCAGTCTCCAGCACCCACAAACCCACTTCCTGTCTCTGGATCGGCCTGTTCTGGACATTTCCTGACCTGGAGCTCCACACTGTGTGGCCTTTTGCATCTGGATCTCTCACTGAGCACCATATCCCTAAGGACTCTGTCTGTGGGCGCGGGTGTGAGAACCTCAGTCCTGTTCAAGGCTGCATGGTATTCCACTGTGGCAATGGGCCTCATCACGTGTCCATCATTCATTTGTAGACACTGGCTGTCCCTACCTGGCTGCTGAGACACCTCGGTGTCTCTGTCCATCTCTTTTTCTGTCTGGGTTTTGTTGTTGTTGTTTGTTTTGAGACAGGGTTTCTCTGTGCAGCCCTGGCTGTCCTGGATCTCGCTCTGTAGACCAGGCTGGCCTCGAACTCACAGAGATCCGCCCCTCTGCCTCTCGTGGGCTGGGATTAAAGGAGTGTGCCACCACCGCCCGGCTCCTTTGAGTTTTTGAGACAGGGTCTCAGTTAGCACAGGTTACCTCTTGAACTCACTCTGTAGCCAAAGTTAGCTTGGAATTCACAATCCTCCTGCCTCAACCCCCTGAGCAGCTGGAATCACGGCCCTCCCAGCCTCGTATTGAGCAGGAGGCACACGCCCTGTGCCATTCACATCTTCCAAACCCCACCGCACAGTGATCCTGGGGTACATTTCACTTAGACGTCGTTCGCCACCCCCAGAGGAGACCGCAAACCCATCCACAGTCCCTCCATCTCCTAATGTTGCCGGAGGCCTTTCAGGAGAGCCAAGGGTGGCTTGGACCAGGCTGGGGTGGGCAGGGGGTCTGGGGAGTGGGGTGTCCCTCTCAGAGGGGCACAGGCTGGCAGGGGGTCACCCAGCTCTCAGGTGCAGGCTCAGCCACAGACGCCCCGGGAGCAGGCGGGGGGGGGGGGGGGCAAGCTGTCAGCTGATGCGCACGCTGCAGGGCTCCAGGCCAGGAACTCCGTTTCTTCTGTCCCAGGAAGTTTCTGTTATTCTGTGGACTCAGCCACCCACCCAAGTGCCAGTCTCTGCTCCCTGGGGCTGGAAGCCAGGGGACGGAAATACAGCTACAGCTGCCAGATATTCGGGGTCCCCCCACCCGAAAACCATGCTGGGGGACCCTGCATTTCGTGAGCCCCCTTGCCTGCCACTTGGGGTATGAACGGCACCTAACTTCGGGACCGGATCCCGGGGGAAAACTTGGGCAGTCTTGGGTTGCACCGCACAATGCCTTTACATTTTGTCACTGTTACTACTGTTTGTGTGAGTGTGCACACCAGCATGGCACAGCACACGTGTGTGTGTGTGGGGGGGGACAGGACACCTTTGGGGAGTCAGTTCTTGCCTCTCACGGTGGTGGGTTCCTGGAATCGAACTCAGGCTGACCATCTTCCGAGGCAAGTGATTTTATGCGCTGAGCCATCTCACAGGCCCTCAAAGCCTTTCCTCCTCCTCCTCCTCCTCCTCCTCCTCCTCCTCCTCCTCCTCCTCCTCCTCCTCCTCCTCCAAGCATCTGAACCTTGGACCAACTCCTTACAGCTTCTTAAACATGTCATTTTACAGGGACTAGGCTGGGACTGTCTGGGGGCACAAGCAGGTACTCACCCAACCGAAAGACACAAAGGAAGAGGGGTCTGTGATGGAGAGGAAACCCGGCCTGGCCGCGGGGTGCCTCTGTCCCGCCCCACCCCCACCGGCACCAGCTTCCGTTATCAGGGGTTCTGAGCTCTCTGGTTGCCGCTGTCTGGACCCTGAGAAACCGGGGACCCTCACCCCAGCCGCAAAGGAGGCACCGGCGAGTAACTCGCATCAGCCTTGTTCCACAAGCTACACGGAGCTCACCCCGGAGTGCTCCCAGGGGGACACTAAGACGTGAGCACTCAGGGGTGATTTTGTCCCCCCACAGTGGCATGGGTCAGGCCAGATTCCAAATTCTGGCTCTGGAAAATTCCATAGCCTGACTCCAGCCGCCGGGAGCCGGGCTAATCCCTCCCCATTTATTGCGTTATGTAACATCCAGGGATTAATACTAGAGGCAGATGGCGGGGCTCACACCCTGCCCTGTGCCTGCCTGGCTCTGTGAGTGAGGGGACTCCCACCTGGCACACGGAGGCGGGGCCCAGGGGCCCAGATTCCTGCGCTGCCGAAATGGCTGCGCGCAGCAGGAGCGGGGTGGGGGTGAGGGGCGGGCTCGGGCGAGAGGTCGCCTGGGCTTCTGCAAAGTGCCCTGGCTACTTCGGCGTCTCTTCTACCAGCCCCGTCCAAGGCTCCACCTCCCGTTAAGGGTCAATTCTCACTCATGCCCACCGCCTGCCCCTCATCCTGGTGGCCGTCTCTTCCACGGCACCCCACCCCACGGTGCCCCATTGGTGCCCACAGCCTTGCAGCCCTGCTGCTTTGGTCCCTATGTCCTCAAACCTTCACAGGCTGCCCTCCTGAGTCCTGCTGTGGCTTCCCAGGGCCCAAGTTGATGGAGCCCCACAGGTCGCCTCTGCAGGGAGGACCCAGCCAGTGGTACTCGGTCCACTAGCCTCAGGCCTCCCGTGTGCCCCAGACAGACTCCTGGGGCCGGCCTCTCTGCAGAGGAACCAGCCGAGTCCTCTGGGCCTCGGTTTCCCCGGTGGGTGAACCGGGTGCTGTCAACAGGTCCCAGGAGGCGCAGGGATGGGAGCGTGGTAGAACTGAGCCTGGCTCCGGGTTGGCGCCAACCTCTCGGCTCCGGGTGCTGCCAGGATCCCATGGGCGTCCGTGCTCCGCCCCGCCCCGCCCCCTCTCTCCAATAAGACCCGCTCCGGCGGCTGGGCGGGCGGCCCAGAGCAGCGAGCGGCGCTGCAGGCGCACTGGGTGGCGCAGTCCGCGGCCCGCCCCGCGCGCCCCGGCCCACCCCGCGCGCTCCGGCCCACCCCGTGCAGATGGAGCCCCGGTCCCAGCGGCGGCGGCGGAGCCGCCCGCTGGTGGCCGCCTTCCTGCGCGACCCGGGCTCGGGGCGCGTGTACCGGCGCGGGAAGCTGATCGGCAAGGTGGGAGTTCCCGCGCACGCTCACACACACCCGAGTTCAAAACGCGGGAAGAGGGAGAGCTGAGGGGGTCTCGGGCAGGGCCGGAGTGCGCGCGCGATCGCTGGCGCCTCCGGTCCCGAGTTTGGGCTCCGGGCTGCGGGGTGGATGGCGAGGCGGGAACGGCACTTGGCGCGCCGCCTGCGGACTGTGTGCGGGGCGCGTGTGCGGGGCGTGTGTGCGTCCCCCGCCTCCCTGGGTGCACAGCCGGCGCTCCGCACGAGCCGCGGTGGGTGCTGAGGTGCGCCTGGGGTCCACGCCCTGCGCCCAGCTCGCCTTCCCGGCTGCGGCTGGGGATTGCTCCCTTGGTGGCCGGCGAGTGCGCGGTCGGACTCCGGAGGGTGTTGAGCTGTGAGTGTGGGTGTCCGGGGGTTGTGTATCGGGGTGTGCCTGGGTGCTGTGCTGTGTGTCTGGGTGTTGTGTTTGAGGGCCCTCATGCGTGTGTTAAATGTTGTAGCAGGTGTCTGGATGGTGTGTGTCAGGGTGAAGCTGAGTGTGGTGAGTCTCGGTGTTGTTTTGTGTATCTGTGCTGGGTCGTGTGTTGTCACGAGTTTGTTTCTGGGTCTTGTGTACGTGGGTATCCAGAGTCTGGGTGCTGTGTTGTGTGTCCAGCTATTTTGTATGGGTGTTTGGTGTGTGAGTGTCTTGTGTTTGTGGGTGCTGTGTGTCTGGGTGTTGTCGGTCTGGGTGCTGTGTGTGTAGAAGTGCTGTGGGGGGTGTTTGGGTGTGTGTAGGCATTTTGTATCTGGCTGCTGCGTGTGGCCGCTGTGTGTGGATGCTGCGTGTGGCCGCTGTGTGTGGATGCTGCGTGTGGGTGCTGCGTGTGGATGCTGTGTGTGGATGCTGTGTGTGACCGCTGTGTGTGGATGCTGTGTGTGACCGCTGTGTGTGGATGCTGTGTGTGGATGCCAAGTGTCAGGGGGTGCTGTGTGTGGCCGCTGTGTGTGGATGCTGTGTGTGGATGCTGTGTGTGGCCGCTGTGTGTGGATGCTGCGTGTGGATGCTGTGTGTGTGGATGCTGCGTGTGGATGCTATGTATGTGGATGCTGTGTGTGACCACTGTGTGTGGATGCTGTGTGTGGACGCTGTGTGTGTGGATGCTGGGTGTGGGTGCTGCGTGTGGATGCTGTGTGTGGGTGCTGTGTGTGGCCACTGTGTGTGGGTGCTGTGTGTGGATGCTGCGTGTGGATGCTGCGTGTGGATGCTGCGTGTGGATGCTGTGTGTGGCTGCTGTGTGTGGCTGCTGTGTGTGTGGCTGCTGTGTGTGGATGCTGTGTGTGGCCGCTGTGTGTGGATGCTGTGTGTGGATGCTGCGTGTGGATGCTGTGTGTGACCGCTGTGTGTGGATGCTGCGTGTGGATGCTGTGTGTGTGGATGCTGTGTGTGGATGCTGCGTGTGGATGCTGCGTGTGGATGCTGCGTGTGGATGTTGTGTGTGGCCACTGTGTGTGGATGCTGTGTGTGGATGCTGCGTGTGGATGCTGAGTGTGGATGCTGCGTGTGGATGCTGTGTGTGGCCGCTGTGTGTGGGTGCTGTGTGTGTGGATGCTGTGTGTGGCCGCTGTGTGTGGGTGCTGTGTGTGGATGCTGTGTGTGGATGCTGTGTGTGTGGATGCTGTGTGTGTGGATGCTGTGTGTGGATGCTGTGTGTGTGGATGCTGCGTGTGTGGATGCTGCGTGTGGATGCTGCGTGTGGATGTTGTGTGTGGATGCTGTGTGTGGATGCTGTGTGTGTGGATGCTGTGTGTGGATGCTGTGTGTGTGGATGCTGCGTGTGTGGATGCTGCGTGTGGATGCTGCGTGTGGATGTTGTGTGTGGACGCTGTGTGTGTGGATGCTGCGTGTGACCGCTGTGTGTGGATGCTGTGTGTGACCGCTGTGTGTGGGTGCTGCGTGTGGATGCTGTGTGTGGATGCTGTGTGTGTGGATGCTGCGTGTGTGGATGCTGCGTGTGGATGCTGCGTGTGGATGTTGTGTGTGGACGCTGTGTGTGTGGATGCTGCGTGTGACCGCTGTGTGTGGATGCTGTGTGTGACCGCTGTGTGTGGGTGCTGCGTGTGGATGCTGTGTGTGGATGCTGTGTGTGTGGATGCTGCGTGTGTGGATGCTGCGTGTGGATGCTGCGTGTGGATGCTGTGTGTGGATGCTGCGTGTGGATGCTGTGTGTGGATGCTGTGTGTGGATGCTGTGTGTGGATGCTGTGTGTGGATGCTGTGTGTGGATGCTGTGTGTGTGGATGCTGCGTGTGTGGATGCTGCGTGTGGATGCTGCGTGTGGATGCTGTGTGTGGATGCTGCGTGTGGATGCTGTGTGTGGATGCTGTGTGTGGACGCTGTGTGTGTGTGGATGCTGCGTGTGGATGCTGTGTGTGGATGCTGTGTGTGTGGATGCTGCGTGTGGATGCTGTGTGTGGATGCTGCGTGTGGATGCTGTGTGTGGATGCTGCGTGTGGATGCTGTGTGTGGGTGCTGTGTGTGGATGCTGCGTGTGGATGCTGTGTGTGGGTGCTGTGTGTGGATGCTGCGTGTGGATGCTGTGTGTGGATGCTGTGTGTGGATGCTGTGTGTGGATGCTGTGTGTGGATGCTGCGTGTGGATGCTGTGTGTGGCTGCTGCGTGTGGATGCCAAGTGGGGTGGGTGCTGTTTGTAGGTGTGTGTGGAAGTGCTGTGAGGGTGCGTGTCTGGGTGTTATGTATATGGTTGCTATGTGTGGGTATTGTGTGTCTGGGTACTGTGTGTGTGTGTGTGTGTGTGTGTGTTTCTGGGTGTCGTGGGTCCCTCACTGCCCGCTGCAGCAGAGTTCATGGGCCTCCCGCTGGGACACAGTCCGTGGGTCTCTGTGGGGTGTGACAGCGGGGCGTGTGCAGGCCTGTGTCTCCGGGTGTGGCCCGCGGCCCACACCCTGCCTCCCGTCCTGCGCAGGGCGCCTTCAGCCGCTGCTACAAGCTCACCGACATGTCCACCAGCGCCGTGTTCGCCCTCAAGGTGGTGCCGCGGGGCGGGGCGGGGCGGCTGCGCCTGCGCGGGAAGGTGAGACCCGCCCCCAGCCTGTCCCGGGGCGGCCCGCTTCCCCCTCGCCGAGAGCGGGGCCTGGGGCCGGCCTGGCAGCTGAGGGGCCTTCATGGGGTCGCAGGTGGAGCGTGAGATCGCCCTGCACAGCCGCCTGCGCCACCGCAACATCGTGGCCTTCCACGCACACTTCGCGGACCGCGACCACGTGTACATGGTGCTGGAGTACTGCAGCCGCCAGGTGGCACGGGGCTGGGGGCGGGGCTCCTGGTGGTGGGCGGGGCTTGGTGGGTTGGGGCGGGGCTCCTGGTGGTGGGCGGGGCTTGGTGGATTGGGCAGGGCTCCTGGTGGTGGGCAGGGCTTGGTGGGTTGGGCGGGGCTCCTGGTGATGGGCGGGGCTTGGTGGGTTGGGGCGGGGCTCCTGGTGGTGGGCGGGGCTTGGCGGATTGGGCAGGGCTCCTGGTGGTGGGCAGGGCTTGGTGTGTTGGGCGGGGCTCCTGGTGATGGGCGGGGCTTGGTGGGTTGGGGCGGGGCTCCTGGTGGTGGGCGGGGCTTGGTGGGTTGGGGCGGGGCTCCTGGTGGTGGGCGGGGCTTGGTGGGTTGGGGCGTAGACTCCTGGTGATGGGCGGGGCTTGGCGGATTGGGGCGGGGCTCCTGGTGGTGGGCGGGGTTTGGTGTGTTGGGGCGGGGCTCCTGGTGGTGGGCGGGGCTTGGTGTGTCGGGCGGGGCTCCTGGTGATGGGCGGGGCTTGGTTGTGGCTCTGGGTCCCTAAGCCGGGGCGGTGTTGAGCTCCCTGTTGCTTGAGGCGGTGGCTGGAGGAGGCAGGGGTCAGGCCTCCTCCCTGTCCCCATGGTGCCCACGCCACGTTCACCGGGTGCCCTCCGTCCAGCCACCAGGGTCCCCTGTCCCCCCATATGACCTCCTGCACGCACCCGGGCCCACACATCCCGACCTCCCCCTCCCTGGCCGAGTCGGGTGTCCCGGTGCCCAGGTGTGAACCCGCCTAACGCGTGCCAGGTCCTCCTACAGTCCCTGGTTCACGTGCTGAAGGCGCGCCGGACCCTGACGGAGCCTGAGGTGCGCTACTACCTTCGGGGCCTGGTCAGCGGCCTGCGCTACCTGCACCAGCAACGCATAGTGCACAGGGACCTGAAGCCCAGTGAGCGGGGTGGGGGGGGACACTTTCGGGGGTGAGGGGCCGGGAGGACGGTGAGGGGCCGGGAGGACGGTGAGGGGCCGGGAGGACGCTGAGGGGCCGGGAGGACGGTGAGGGGCCGGGAGGACGCTGAGGGGCCGGGAGGACGGTGAGGGGCCGGGAGGACGGTGAGGGGCCGGAGGACGCCGAGGGGCTGGGAGGACGGTGAGGGGCCGGGAGGACGCCGAGGGGCCGGGAGGACGCCGAGGGGCTGGGAGGACGCCGAGGGGCTGGGAGGACGCCGAGGGGCTGGGAGGACGCCGAGGGGCTGGGAGGACGCCGAGGGGCTGGGAGGACGCCGAGGGGCTGGGAGGACGGTGAGGGGCCGGGAGGACGGTGAGGGGCCGGGAGGACGGTGAGGGACTGGGAGGACGCCGAGGGGCTGGGAGGACGCCGAGGGGCTGGGAGGACGCCGAGGGGCTGGGAGGACGCCGAGGGGCTGGGAGGACGCCGAGGGGCTGGGAGGACGCCGAGGGGCTGGGAGGACGCCGAGGGGCTGGGAGGACGCCGAGGGGCTGGGGAGGACGCCGAGGGGCTGGGAGGACGGTGAGGGGCCGGGAGGACGGTGAGGGACTGGGAGGACGCCGAGGGGCTGGGAGGACGCCGAGGGGCCGGGAGGACGCCGAGGGGCTGGGAGGACGGTGAGGGGCTGGGAGGACGGTGAGGGGCCGGGAGGACGCTGAGGGGCCGGGAGGACGCCGAGGGGCCGGGAGGACGGTGAGGGGCCGGGAGGACGGTGAGGGGCTGGGAGGACGGACGCTGAGGGGCCGGGAGGACGGTGAGGGGCCGGGAGGACGCTGAGGGGCCGGGAGGGCGGTGAGGGGCCGGGAGGACGGTGAGGGACTGGGAGGACGGTGAGGGGCCGGGAGGACGCTGAGGGGCCGGGAGGACGGTGAGGGGCTGGGAGGACGGTGAGGGGCCTGGGAGGACGCTGAGGGGCCGGGAGGACGCTGAGGGGCCGGGAGGACGCTGAGGGGCTGGGAGGACGGTGAGGGGCTGGGTGGACGGACGCTGAGGGGCCGGGAGGACGGACGCTGAGGGGCTGGGAGGACGGTGAGGGCTGGGAGGACGGACGCTGAGGGGCTGGGAGGACGGTGAGGGCTGGGAGGACGGTGAGGGCTGGGAGGACGCACGCTGAGGGGCTGGGAGGACGGACGCTGAGGGGCCGGGAGGACGGACGCTGAGGGGCCGGGAGGACGGACGCTGAGGGGCTGGGAGGACGGACGCTGAGGGGCTGGGAGGACGGACGCTGAGGGGCTGGGAGGACGGTGAGGGGCTGGGAGGATGCTGAGGGGCTGGGAGGACGGACGCTGAGGGGCTGGGAGGACGCTGAGGGGCTGGGAGGACGGTGAGGGCTGGGAGGCTGCGCACGCCCTCATGCGGTCCCCCCGCCCGCAGGTAATTTCTTCCTTAACAAGAACATGGAGGTGAAGATCGGAGACCTGGGGCTGGCTGCCCGGGTGGGGCCCACCGGTCACTGCCACAGGTGCGGGCGGAGGTTCTGCGTGGTCCGGAGCGGGGGCCGGGAAGCCCTGGCCTTCCTGAACCTCCCGTGATCCCCCGCAGGGTGCTCTGTGGGACTCCAAGCTTCCAGGCTCCTGAAGTCGTGTCCCGAAGTGGACACTCCTGCAAGTCTGACATCTGGGCTCTGGGCTGCATCATGTAAGGGAGACTCTGGGGGACCCAGGTCTGGGGACGAGGTGTGGGCAGGGGGAGGGCGCATAGGGGGTGGGCGTGCATGCACACAACACATTAGACACACGTCGGCTAGAGCTGGATCTCGCTCGGTAGCCCAGGCTGGCCCTGAACTCACAGAGGCCCCCCTGCCTCTGCCGCCCGAGGGCTGGGATTAAAGACGGGCTCCCTGACACCCAGTGAGCGTCCTGCCCTTAAGGTCCGGGTCTCCGTTTCTTGTCCCGTCTCGGGTGCCAATGGAATTAAAGTGTGGCTGGGGCTAGGGTTGGCCTAGCGTGCACCCCGGCTGCCACCCTGGGCACCACAGGGGCCAGGCAGGGCAGTGCACACGGGTGGTGCCAGCCAGGTGGAGTGGGCCTCGGGCGGGTGTGGAGGTGGGGGAACCAGAGTACGGGGGTGTGGCCAGGTGTGTAAAGTGTGAGCATTCCAGGTGTGTAAAGTGTGAGCATTCCAGGTGTGCAAAGTGTGAGCATTCCAGGTGTGCAAAGTGTGAGCATTCCCTGCACACCGGGAATGACCGACTCACTCTTGTCGAACCCGGGCCCAGGTACACGGTGCTGACAGGCACCCCGCCCTTTGCCGGGGCACCCTTGTCGGAGATGTACCAGAATATCCGGGACGGCCGCTACCCCCGAGCCCGCGCACCTGTCGCCCAGCGCCCGCAGCCTCATCACGCGGCTGCTGGCGCCCAACCCTGCCGAGCGGCCCAGCCTGGACCACTTACTCCAAGACGACTTCTTCACCCAGGTGAGGGGTGCCCGGTGCGCCCGGGGAGCCGGGACCTGCAGACCCGGCTGACCCTGAGCTCACTGCCTCCTAAGGGCTTCACCCCCGAGCGGCTGCCCGCACACTCCTGCCACAGCGCGCCCGTCTTTGCCTTCCCGCCACCGCTGGGCAGACTGTTCCGAAAAGTGGGCCGGCTCCTGCTGACCCGGTGCCGGCCGCCCTGTGAGTAGCTCTGCCCGGCGCGTCCCAGCCTCCTCGGACCTGCCACCCGCCCCTCTCCTCGGCCTCTTCCTTCCGTGGCCCCGACAAAGGTGGATGGGGGGGCAGGAGTTCCCGTGATCACTGTCCCCCAATCCTGTGCTCCCCTCAGGTCCCTTCACCCCAAAAGAGGCTTCAGGCCCTGGAGAGGAAGGGACAGAACCTGATCGCATGGAGTCCAGCCGTGAGGTGAGTAGTTCCTGAGGCCTGGGAACTTGTAGGCCTCTGACGCCCGGACTGAAGCCTCCATCTGTCTACTCTAGAGACCTCAGACCACCCTGGCCACGCCCCCAACCCTCACTGGGGATTCTGGGCGGGGCTCCACCCTGACCACGCCCCCAGCCCCTCACTGGGGGATTCTAGGCGGGGCTCCACCCTGACCACGCCCCCAGCCCCTCACTGGGGAATTCTGGGCGGGGCTCCACCCTGGCCACGCCCCCAGCCCCTCTCTGGGGATTCTAGACAGGTCTGTTCCAGCTCCTGCCCCCCACCCTAGCGTTCTGAGCCCCGGGGACCCTGTTCACATCAGTTTCCACCACACTCACTGAGTGCCTGCTGTGACGTCATGCAGCTGGCAGGTGCTGTCTGAAGAGGAAACCTGTTCTTTGTGTAAAGTGGGGTGCTGGGCTCTGGGGGCTCCCTCAGGGGTGGGAGCCACACTTCACCTCTGTTCTCTCCAAACACCTCTGTCTCAGGAAGGGGTTCCTCTCTGCGCTGAGAGCCGCGTCCACCTCCTCACTCTCGGGATGCTGCAGACCGACCTGGCGGGTGAGCAGCACAGAGCCTCAGCCCAGGCGGGGCTGCAGATGCTCGGGACAGGGACTTACCGGCTGATGGGGGGGCTCCCGCTTTGGTGGAGGTCCGGGGCTGCCTGGGCACCTGTGTGACTCCCTCAACAGACCCAAAGGGGAACTTGGCACCTCAGGTGGAGGCGGCAGCCAGGAAAATGCATCTCTGCTTGGACGCAGGACCTATGGGTAGGACCGCCACCGAAAGGTGCGAGGCTGAGGCAGCCTAGAGCGGCCCTAGCCCAGGCCCACTGCATCCTCACCCCAGCCGCCCCCCTCCAATACAGCCACGGCCCCACCCGATACACCCCAGCAAAGCCCCAACCCAACCCCAGCCCACGCCTCCACAGCCCAGCCCCACCCCTCCACAGCCCAGCCCCAGCCTCACCCCTCCACAGCCCAGCCCCATCCCTCCCCAGCCCAGTCTCACCCCTCCACAGCCCGGCCTCATCCTTCCACAGCCCAGCCCCACCCCTCCCTAGCCCAGCACAGCCCCACCCCTCCACAGCCCCACCCCTCCACAGCCCAGCCCCACCCCTCCACAGCCCAGCCCCAGCCCCACCCCTCCACAGCCCAGCACAGCCCCACCCCTCCCCAGCCCCACCCCTCCCCAGCCCCACCCCTCCCCAGCCTGGCCCAGTACCTGACCCTGGCTCCTTTCTCTCCCCTGCGCTCAGCTGCACAGGACCCCCCAGGGGAGCAGCAGCCTGTCCTCTGGGCCCCCAAGTGGGTGGATTACTCCCTCAAGTACGGCTTTGGCTACCAGCTGTCGGATGGGGGCAGTGGCGTGCTGTTTCGGGACGGCTCCCACATGGCCCTGCGCCCCCCAGGAGGGTAATTTGTGGGGCTCGCATCCCCCGGGAACCAGGCTCCACCCCAACCTCTCTTGATTCTTTCCTCAACTACTCTTTGGGCATCGGCCAGTAGGAGGGCACAGTGAAACGGACCAGGAGGTGGCGTCATGTTCTTTTCCACGGGACGAAACCCGGCAGAGGCGGGAGAGGGGACTTTTGATAACACGCTGTCGCGTGTCACTGGGGAAGCCATGTTCACGGAGGTCAGAGGCTGCGGCTCCGTAGACAGTGCTCACCGGGCACGCACAAGGCCCAGGGTTCCCTTGCAGGAGGGTCAAGAGTTCAGGGTCACCCTCAGCTACATAACAACCTCAAGGCCAGCCTGGGCTACGTGAGACAGGGAAACACAATGTCTCCAAACACAAGGGAGCTGACATCAGACAGCGTCAGGCCAGGTTAAATGATACAGACCCGACTCCTGGTACAGGGATACAGACCTGCGTGCTGGGGTCAGGTTCTCCTGCTGAGACTTCTCCTCAGCCCCGTGACTGGTTTCAGTTTTTCTTTTTCTTGAGGATGGACCCCGGAGCCTCAGGGGTCCTCTGCCACCGAACCCACCTCCCAAGCCCTGATATTTTACCATAGTGTTCTTGGTGTGAGGGAGGAGGTGGCCGGGCTGGCCAGGAGGGTAGCGGCCCTTTCTATGGAGACAGGAGAAGAGCCCAGATCTGATGTAGTTGGGCAATGAGCGGTGCTTCTGGGGTGGCCAGCGCCCTCGCTGGCCAAGGTTATCGTAGGCACAGTGATGTTCAGAGCATCAATGGGGTGCAGCTGTGTGGGAAGACACCCCCGAGCATGGGGCGTCCAGGCCAGAGACTCATTCAGATCCTTGGTTCCCAGCCATGTCTCCTACCAAGCTGACCAAGGGACTCTGTGGACCTTCGCCCTGAGGGACGTCCCCAGCCCGCTTCGGGCCAAGCTGGCTGTCCTGCGGCTCTTTGCCTGTTATATGCAGAGGCGCCTGCGGGAGGTGAGGGTCTGCAGTGTGGGGAGGGACGGGAGGGAGGTGCGGACCGAGGGACCCTGACCCAGCGTGTCCCCGCAGGAGGGGACTGTGTCCACGCCTGTGGCGCCTGCCTCTCCTGACTTCTCCCTGTTGACCTTCGCTGCCGACTCCCAGGCTTTGGTCCTGCTCTTCAGCAATGGGACGGTGCAGGTAAATGACCAGGACGGCGGGGCTGTGGAGAGCCAGCATTCAGGACACCAGGGACTATGTGACCTCTGAAAAAAAAATGAAACCCAGAGGTCACACCCTGCGTCAAACCCATGCCCAAACATACACAAATAGTAAATTAAATGGAAAGAGAGAATAAAGGAAAGTTGTGTGTGTGTGTTACCAGGGTGATGGGGTTGGGGTGGAGGGACCCCCAGTTGAGCCGGTTTCTCTGTTAATTCCAAGGAGCCCTCGGCCTGAGTCTTATCTCGGGGGTGCAGTCCTCACGTCAGTGTTTGTGCCCATCCCCCCAGGGTCAGAACTGGGGCGAACGGTTGGTTCTTGTCCTTAGTGTCACTCTCTCCCAGGTCAGCTTCAGGACATCCCAAACCCAGCTGGTGCTGAGTGGGGAGGGCGAAGGCTTGCTGCTCACCCTTTGGGAGCCAGGAGGACCCAGTCCGGGTATCTCCTACTCCCTAGATGTCCTGCGGAGCCACGGATGCACCCCCGCCATCCACCAGCACCTGCGCCACGGGCTGCGCCTGCTGCAGAGTGTCCGATGAGTGTCTGAGGGGACCTCTGCAGGGTGCTGGGGACCTGGGCTCGGCGTCTGTTTGCTACAGCTGGCGTCCATGGAGGGTGGACACACTGGGGGCTTTCTTTGATTTTTGGTCTGACTATTGAAGCTAGAATTTTGTTGGGCCCTGATGGATTTTCATTAAAGAAAACATGTCCCTGTAAGCTGGTGTCTGTCTCTTTTTGTTTGTTTGTTTGTTTTGATTTACTTATTTTATATGTGTGAGTGTTCTGCCTCCATGTATCTCTGGGCACCACATGACTGTCTAGTGTCTGTGGAGACCAGATGAGGGTGTCAAGACTTCCCCGCCCCTGGAACTGGAATTACAGATGGTTGTGAGCCACCATATGGGTGCTGAGAACCGAATCTGTCTCCTCTACAGGAGCACCAAGTGCTCTCAAGCACTGAGCCATCTCTCCAGCTCTTTCGTCTTTAGGAATCAGGGTGATCTTAGCCCAGGCTGGTCTGCAACTTGTTGTGGAATATTTGTTTAACTATGCAGAGATGTGTTGCATTTGTTTAATGGTGTAAAGATGTGTTGCTGTGTTACCTTGCCTGCCTAAGGCACCTGATTGGTCTAATAAAAAGCTGAATGGCCAATAGCGAGGAAGGAGGTAAAGGTGGGACTTCCAGGCAAGGTGAGTAAGTAGGAGGAGAATTTAGGCTGGGGAAGAGATAGAAAGAGATGCCAGGCCGGGCGGTGGTGGCGCACGCCTTTAATCCCAGCACTCGGGAGGCAGAGGCAGGCGGATCTCTGTGAGTTCGAGGTCAGCCTGGTCTCCAAAGCGAGTTCCAGGAAAGGCGCAAAGCTACACAGAGAAACCCTGTCTCGAAAAACAAAAAAAAAAAAAAAAGAAAGAGATGCCAGGAAGATGCCAGGGGCCAGCCAGACCCAGAGGAAGCAAGAAAGTATGCCATACAGAATGAAAGAAAGATAAAAAGCCCTGAAGCAAAATGTAGATGAAGAGAAACAGGTTAAGTTAAGTTAAAAGAGCGAGTGGGACAAGCCTAAGCTAAGGCCAAGCATTCATAATGAATAATAAGTCTGTGTCTATTTGGGCATTGGTTGGCGGTCCAAAGAAGATTCCAGCTACAGAAACTCATTTCAATACTTGGAAGCTGACCTGGAACTCCTGACCCACCTGACCCTGTCTCCTGGGGGCTGAGATGTCAGGTATGTTTTCAGACATAATCTTATCCCTAGCCCAGGCTGGCCTGGAACTGGAGGCAATTTTGCCTCAGCCTCCCCCAAGCACAGGGGCAGATGCACACCACCACACCTGGTTTTCTCAGGCTCACTTTGGACAAAGGCTGGGAGGAATGCCTGCCAGGGGCCTGTCCTGTGCAGTGGGTAGCCATTCCAGCTTTGATCTGGAAGTTCCAACCCCCATTGAGGCTTCCGTAACTATCACGCCTACAAGGCGGGGCCAAGGGAGGGTCCTGAAGACCCGAGATCTGGATGCGCTCTCTCCTGCTAGGGGCCCCGGACACTAGAGGTGGACCAAGGAGAGTTCTCCAGAGAACGGCCGGATGGCGCTGTGCCTTTCCTAGAACCCTCAATGTACCTATCCCTTCATTTGTAAGTTACGCCATTAAATAAATCTCCCTTTTAACTACGTGGAGTGGCCTGAATAATTTCTCCAATAGTCCTGGGCAGGTGTGAGCTAGATTTTCACCTTGTAACAATTAGTACCAGAAGTGGGGGTGTGTAACCTGAAATGAGCAGTAACAGGAGGTGTTCACTTAAATGAGGGTCCTCAGGAAAAGGGCTGTGGGACACGGTAGGGGGAATCCTGGGTGCCTGTCACCCGGGGAGATGCTCCTGCACAGATGGGTGAGATCAGGACACGTTTGGCCCCTTCAGGGCCCAGGACACTTCACTGAGAACCTGGAACAGTGTCCTCAGTGCTTCAGGGAACTGTATCTTAGACTCATCTTCAGTGTGTTCTCATGTGCTTTCTCCTGGGACAGACACAGTGACCAAAAGCAGATGGGGGAGGACAGTGTCTGTCTGGCTTCTACTTTACAGTCCGTCATGAGGGACGGCGGAGCGGGACCCGGGAGGCAGGAGCTGAAGCGGAGGCCGTGGAGGGGGCTGCTGCCTGGCTTGTTCCTCCTGGCCGCTCGACTTCTATCTGTCTGTCTATCTATCTATCTATCTATCTATCTATCTATCTATCTATCTATCTATCTATCTTCGAGATAGGCTCTCACTGTGTAGCCCTGGCTGTCCTAGAAGTCTCCATGTAGCCCAGGCTGGCCTCAAACTCACCAAGTTCCACCTGCCTCTGCCTCTGAGTGCTGGGGTCAAAGGTGTGTGACATCGGGGCCCAGCAGCTTCTTTTCTCATGCACCCAGGACCACCTGCCCAGGGGTGGCCCCACACACTGTGGGCTGGACCCTCCACATCAACTGCCCACAGGCCAATCTGATGGAAGTGTTTTCTTGATGGAGGTTCCTCAGTTCTGGCATGTGTCAAGTTGACAACAACCATCACACAAACAAAAACAAAGAGAAAATCCTCAGGAGGAAAGATACAATGCCTAAGGCGTGTGGCCTCCATCATCAAAACAAGGAGCTGGGGGACAGAGGCGGGAGGATCGGGGCCGCACAAGCACCAGCACCTGAGGAGGCTGCATCGCAAGTCACAGGAACGCACGCCTGTCATCTGGCTCACCGGAGGACCCTGGGTGGGGAGGGGACAGGGAGGGGCACTCAGCCAGAGTGGGGCTGGGGCGGGGTGTGTGTTAGACACCGGAAAGGGCTGAGGGACAGCCGGCAGAATGGACTGAAGGAGGGGCCCCCCTCCACCTCCCCCCCACCCCCCACCCGGGCAGAGCCTGCTCCTCAGGGCCCGGCCCTCACAGATCCACCTTGGGCTTTACTGGGAGAGGACACGAGATCAGCTGTTTTGTGTGGATGTTGGGGAGAGGCGGTCTGCACACAGACCCCAGGAGTGGTCACTTCAAGTGAAGGCGGTGGACGCCCTGGATCTGAAAGTCATACGCCCTCCTTTGTATAGCAGGGAGGGGCAACGGGATCCGCGTGGAGCAGGTGGGGTTTTAGGGGGCCCTGGGGACTGGGAAGGAATTTTGGGAGTGGAGCAGAGAAAGCAGAAGGAAAATACCAGCCAAGCTGGGGGTGTTTGTTGTGGAGCTACAATTTGCCCTTTCGTTGACATTTCTCCATCACAGCTCTGTGTAGACATCTGTGTAGACGCGGTTCCCCAGCTTCCTCGTCTACACCAACCTGTCTCCTCCCCGAACCCAGCGGAGTGCCCTGACCATCATTCCCTGTCATGATGCAGTCCCACACGGTTGTGTCTGGTCCCCTCACCAAGCACAATGTCCTCAGGCTCCCTCCATGCTGTGGTGTCAAGAGACTCGTTCTTGTTCACAGCTACCTATGGTGATATTTTATTTGTATTAAAATGTTATTTGTATGTTAATAAATAAAGTTGCCCGGGGGTCAGAGCTATTAGCAAGCCATAGGAAAGCAGGGCAGTGGTGGCGTACGCTTGTGATCCCAGCACTTGGTAGGCAGAGCTGGGTAAGTCTCTGTGTGTTCAGGGATACAGCCATTATTGGATACACATGCCTTTAATCTCAATACCAATCATGGAAAACCTGGAGGCCTATACAGACAGGCCGTGAGGAGGCGGTCATGTGGTTGGGTTTACAACCAATGAGAAGGCAGGACAGGAACTCTATATAAAGACTTTAACACAGGGGTAGCTCTGGTTCGGAGAGGTAGGACCACCGCAGGAGGAAGGGTAAGGTTTTAGCTCTTAGCTCTGACCTCTTGGCTTTCTTCTTTGCATTGGTTCTGTGTTTCTTATTTAATAAGAAGGTTGGATACATCTACAGCTACCTAATCCTCCAGTGTCTGGGTGCTCCGTGATGGGTCCACTCGTGTGTGTCTGTTGTTGGGAAGGACTGGGATGGGTGACTGGGAACAGCTGGGTCTGGGCTCAGACAGACAAAGGCAAGGATTCTCTCTATATATGTGTGTGTGTCTGTCTCTCTTCCTCTGTGTGTGTGTGTATGTGGTGTGTATGTGTATGTGTGTGTGTATGTGTGTATGTGTATGTGGTGTGTGTATGTGTGTGTATGTGGTGTGTGTGTGTGTGTATGTGGTGTGTGTGTATGTGGTGTGTATGTGTATGTGTGTGTGTATGTGTGTGTATGTGGTGTGTGTGTGTGTATGTGTGTGTGTATGTGGTGTGTGTGTATGTGTGTGTGTATGTGGTGTGTGTATGTGGTGTGTGTATGTGGTGTGTGTGTGTGTATGTGTGTGTGTATGTGGTGTGTGTGTGTATGTGTGTGTGTATGTGGTGTGTGTATGTGGTGTGTGTATGTGTGTGTATGTGGTGTGTGTGTGTGTATGTGTGTGTGTATATGTGTGTGTATGTGGTGTGTGTGTGTGTGTATGTATGTGGTGTGTGTGTATGTGGTGTGTGTGTGTGTGGTGTGTGTGTGTGTGTATGTATGTGGTGTGTGTGTGTGTGTATGTGGTGTGTGTGTGTGTATGTGGTGTGTGTATGTGTGTGTATGTGGTGTGTGTGTGTGTGTATGTGTGTGTGTATGTGTGTGTGTATGTGTGTGTATGTGGTGTGTGTGTGTATGTGGTGTGTGTGTGTGTATGTGTGTATGTGGTGTGTGTGTGGTGCGTGTGTGTGTATGTGGTGTGTGTGTGTGTGTCTTGTTCCCACCTGGTGCCTGACTTAGTTGAGATTTCTATTGCTGTGAAGAGACACAGTGACCGCAGCAACTCTTTTTTGTTTTTCGGTTTTTCGAGACAGGGTTTCTCTGTGTAGCCCTGGCTGTCCTGGATCCCGCTCTGTAGCCCAGGCTGGCCTCAAACTCACAGAGATCCTCCTGCCTCTGCCTCCCGAGTGCTGGGCTTAAAGGCGTGCGCCACCGCCGCCCGGCTCCAGCAACTCTTACAAAGGAAAACATTTCATTGGGGTGCTGGCGTACAGTTTCTGAAGTTCAGTCATTACCGTCATGGCAGGACGTGGCGGCCTGCGGGCAGATGTGCTGCTGGCCGCATCTTGACCAGAAGACAACAGAAGTGGTCTGCCTGGCATGGCTTGAGCATGTACGAGACCTTACAGACCACCTCCACAGTGACACACTTCCTCCGGCAGGACCACAGCTCCCAA